TTTGAAATAAATGACAGTTTTCTGAGTGTAAACTGTTTTTGACTCACACGGTAGTAAAGTATCTTGCGCAGTGAGACTTGGAAGCCTGTTGCACGCCCTGATATTGTGCGTGTGTGCGTGTGTGCGTATGTGTATGTGCGTGGGTGGAGGAGAGGCTGGGGGATAGATGAATGAGCGACTATAGCCTACATCTTCAAGAATTTGCCAACTGATATGAAACGATGACAATTCCAGCGAGGCTCGCAATTATTTACAAGGCCACTCTTCCCAATTACCAGTCGCAAGGGATGGGGGGAAATGCGAAGCGCGGTTGATATTATTATTCGCATATACGGCACGTATGCAAGTACTTAACGCGCTTATTGTATCTACCTGTTTATTGCATGTTCGTCCTTGATGTCAAAAATACACATGAAAACATGGAAATATGGGAAAAGAGAAATTCACGAGCGAAGATCGTGGGGAAGGAATTACAAAAATCTACCAGTAAGCAGATCAAAGAAACTAGGATTGACGTAATGTCAAAAATACGCATGAAAATATGGACAAAGAGACATCACAATCGAAAGGAAGGAGTTACAAGAAAGCTAATGCACATCAAAGAATAAAGGATTTAAAAGGAGAAAAAATGTGGAGAGAGTTTGGATAGAGAGAATTAGAGTGGGGTGGAGAAGAGAGGAAAATAAAATGAGAGAGAAAAAGTGGGAGAATATAGAGATGGAGAAAGATAAGGAGAGAGAGAGAGAGAGAGAGAGAGAGAGAAGGGTGAGGTGGAGAAGAGAGAAAAAATAAAATGAGAGAGAAAAGTAGGAGAATGGAGAGATACGGAGAGAGAGAGGGAGGGAGAGACAGACAGACAGGCAGACAAAGAAATACATGAAAGAGAGAGAGAGACAGAGACAGAGGCACCGAGAGAGAGGGAGAGAGAGAGAGAGAGAGGGGCAGAGAGAGAGAGAGAGAGAGAGGGGCAGAGAGAGAGAGAGAGAGAGATAGAGACAGAGACAGACAGAGTAAGAGAGAGAGAAAGAGAGGAGAGAGAGAGAGGGGGAGAGAAAGAGAGACAGAGAGAGACAGAGAGACAGACAGGAAGAGAGAGAGAGAGAGAGAGAGAGAGAGAGAGAGAGAGACAGAGACAGACAGACTGTCAGAGAAAGAGACAGAGAGAAGAGCAGGTTAAATGAAAATATAAGAATTATACGTGACTGGAGCGTGAAAGTCTCCCAGTTATATACCCATGTCTAAATTATTAATCTAGAGCAACTATTTCAGTACATATTTAATTAAATTCCATAATTTCACTCGAATCTATTTTCGTGCTTTCAATTTGCCAGAGCGTGTCACCAATTTCATCACTTTGTGTATCTCCTATCAAGAGAACCTGAAAGTCGGCGCTCATTATGGAATAGCAATAAAGCGATCAAAAGAAACATAACGTACCTTCACCCATAAAGATATAATCCCCCACCCACCCCCCCCCCCCCGAAAAAAAAATGAAATGAATAAGGGAAAAACTGTCGTCTAAAGCGGAAACGGAAGCCCAATGCGGCGTATTGGTTTGAAGTTTTGAACAGAATGTATTTCACCCCTATCTCCCGCCCCGCCCCCCCCCCTCCTCCCTGAACCTTTCCTTGTGTTCTAGTGAATAAATTATTAATAATTTTACTTTGAACGGGATAAAATCAAATTGTATATATATATATCCACAGGATTATGAAACTGTAATATGTAAACCATGTCCCATTTTTTTCATTCTCGCCATACATTGTGACATTTCTTCTGTCTACATGTCGAGAATTCAATCAATAACATAAACATTGAATCATGTATATCAAAGAGAGAGAGAGAGAGAGAGAGAGAGGGAGAGATAGAGAGAGAGAGAGAGAGAAGGCGGAAGGAAGGCAGATGGGAGGGGAGGGGGAGGGTGGGTGGGTTCTGGAGTGGGTAGCTTTGTAGTTCTCCCTATTTGCAGGTATAAAGGTTAAACTGTACTCCCATATACATGTATCACCTGGGTTAAACGGGAGGGGAGGGAGGTCTTGTTGAAAAAAAATCTGAACTCGTATTGCAGCAACCGTTACTTCATAGTACGCGGCAGCAATGTGGTCATTTGTAATTTCAATCGCCTATTCTCACAACTTTTCACCTTGTGCATATTATAAACACATGTGTACACAGGCGCGTACGCAGGGAGGGGGGGGGGGTGTTTGGGGGGTTAAACCCCCCTCCTTTGGTATTTTTATGTGTGTAAACCCTCCTAAAAAATCCCTAAACCCCCCCCCCCCCCCCTTTGGATTTTTTTTTTTTTTTTTTAATTATTAAAAAAAAAAAAAAAAAAAAAAAAAAATCCCCCCATGGCTAACCTAAGAAAGGTGACCTTACCCCCCCCCCAACGGAGCAAAATGTCAAATTTTCAAATTTGGAGACCAAAAAAAAAAAAAAATGTCCTCTTACCCCCCCAGCTGATGCCCCCCTCTTTCTCTCTCTCTCTCTCTCTCGTGTTCATATTGTCCCTTCTGTTCTCTTGCTCTGTTTCTCACTCTCCTGCTCCCTATGTATTAACTCAACATAATGTTTTTCCTTAAAATCACTAACATTTTCGAATGAATCTTTAAAGATGAAGTTGAGTTCTGGTCATGTGATTGCATTGTGAAAGAAACGGTGTGGAATCGACCAGAATAGGTTGATCATCTAGCATATAAGTAATTGTGTGTATTGCAAGGTTCTGGAATTATCAAAATGATAAGAAATTTGGCCAAGTCTTGGTAAAGTCACAAACACTGTACACAGAAAGATGTATTTGGGACTACACGAACAAGTGGCGTAAAAATCCGTCCCGATTTTTACGATGTTACATGACATATTTAGAATATGAAGGCATTTGAAGAGCCATGCTTTTCAGGTAACATGTTTTATCTGATGTTCTTCCACACTTGCATAATAACAATGATAACGCTCACAAAATATTGTTCACCTCTTCCCAGAACTCAACCTTCTCTTTAAAGTGCTTCATTGAACACCTTTAATAATAGTTTTAGGCATATCAGTTCCGGAAAACTTCCCCTAGTACATCTCCCTGAACTCCTAAGAGACGTTGATATCTTTTTATGTCATAGCAACTCACGTTTCCTCTCGGTATGTTCAACTTTGAAATGTAACACTCTTTCAGTACATCTAATCTTCTCATCAAATTTTCATTACAAAATTATTTATTTAATGTTTTAAGCCCCACTGTACTACTTGCTCCCTATATATAGAAAACAATGCCTAAGCGGTGCCCGTTGGTCCCCCACGATTCTCTTTTCTTATGTGAATTGAGAGCTAAGTTGATGACATAGCCACCCGTCAGTGACCATGCTGGGTGGTCTAATCCCCCTGGTCAAACTAGTACAGACGGGCTTTAATATGCATGAGAACCCCTGGTATAAATGAGTAGCCCCTACCCACCCCTGATAATTTTGAAACTACCAATACTTGAAAAAAAAAATGCGACCTCATATTGCAGCAACCGTTACTTCAGAGTACCCGGCAGCAATGTGGTCTTTTGTAATTTCAATCGCTTATTCTCACAACTTTTCACCTTGTGCATATTATAAACACATGTTTACATGTAAAGCGCTTAGATACCTTTGTATTAAGCGCTATATAAAAGCTAAATATTATTATTATTATTACATTATATGCTGGTATACTGGAGGAGATTCATTCCAGTTTGAAGGGCAAATATCCTTAAAATTCATATTTCTGAGCATTTTTTTTTTGTGTGGATTGAATTAAGCAGTGTGCATGCTTGACTACAGCTTGTTGATGTGTATCTAGATTCTGGAATATTTGAAATTAATTAAAATGTGGATTTTTAAACCCTACCGTACGTACAGGATTGTTAAGCTTTACGGTACACGAAAGATATGGTCCAATTTCTTTGACTTTGTTATAGAAAAAGAGTTAAATATAGCAAAATAATATGTTTCGTAGTTTTGGTATTTGTTAACTCGCCCCTTTTATTGCAGGGGGGGGGGGGGTAGGGGGAAGAAGAGCTATTATAGTAAATTCTGGACTGAAATATTAATGTAGATCTTTGACTGTAACATTGATTATTATTCCTGCCCTGTGTTTGTGAACAGTGAATGCCAAGTAAAATAATAAAATAAGGATCTATACCTACAAGGTATACAGACCAATGCAAGAATTACAAAAGTTTCAGCAATAAAAGAAGTTCCATCTCAGCAAACGTTTTATTGAAATCTATACCGTTCCGTCAAACGTGTTGATACAAATTAAAAGCATCCATTCTGGCAAGTCATGTACACTGTACTGGAATGATGTAATTCACCACATGATTAAATTACAATCAAATTTGAATTGGCAAAATGTAAATTTAGTTTGTTTGACAAATAAAGTACCTGCAATCAATCACTTTAATAATTTATCCAGAAAAGAAAATACTGTTGATACCCATTATGACTGATTTTCAGATTCAAAAGGAAACAGTTAGTCAATGGTCATACCAAGAAGATTTTTCTTTTTGATCTACGATTGTGGATAAAAGTCATATGTCATCAGAGACCCATTGCATGGAATCTTCCTTCAGTACACATTGATGCAATTACACAAAGATTCCTTGAGGTTTTGAAGATATGATTGAAGCCACAGGGAGCATCATAGCTTGATGTTGTAACTCTCTCAAAGTGGTTTACAAATAAAAGGCATATCCCCCAGAAGATGGCTGAGGATATTTCATAGATATTTCAAATTCATCCACCCCAAGCCAAGTTGCAGATAAAAGCTTTGCTGTTTCATAAAAGAATGATGTCACTCTGCTCCACCGAGTACTAACCAGCCCTTCAAATGATGCTTAGAAGAGAAGGAATGGAAAGATAGATGTCAGCTGTTACTACAAGACACAAGGTATGAAAGCATCCGGCCTCTCCCGGGTGGAAGCTGATGACTAGAAGGCTTTGAGAGCGGCAATAAGGGAGATGAAAAGTTCAACCCCTCAGCGTGGGAAAATGCACCCCGAATGATGATGATGATGATAATGATAATGATGCCAACAGATTTGGTTCTCAGTGTATATCGGGTGGTGAATCTTTAAAAAAAATTTTTTTTACTGACTACAGGTGTATCAACTTGTACTCTTGCACAGGAACATGTATGCCTGGTGAGTTTTCAGATCTTGCTTTCTCTGGGACCGCTTATCGCTGTCGGTCAATCAACGTACATGTGCCGAGATGGAGTGGGCATGAGATGAAGACACACGGTGACCTTAGACCTTGTTGAATGCTGCGATGTCGACTGACTGGACGGTGTCAAACTCCTCTATCTCTTCTTGTAGCGCATCGACACTGACCTGCGTAGAGAGAAAAGAAGGGACAGGCTTCGTGAGCAGATAGCAATGGGCCAGGTGTATTCTTTCTGAACCTATGGCTGAAAGGGGAAGTCTACCCTGATATGAAGTTAGTTTGAATATAAGCTGAACAATTAATAATAATAATGTTCAGTTCTTGTATAGCGCGTAATACATTATGAATTATACAACTCACTCCCAGATCCTAATCAAATGATTGGTAATGCGCGGTCATGTGTGATATATACACACAGCCTCAACTCGAGTGCGATAATGAAGTCATGCTCATGCATCATTCGTATAACAACGTCTCTATGTGCTTGCAAAGGGCTTTGGAAATGATTACCCTAGCTTTACCTCCGGCAGCTGGGATCAGCATTTCAAGGAATTGGAGAAGCAGATCAGTGAAAGTATGAGTAAAATCCAATGGAACAATTAGGAAGATTCAAATTTGAAAACTATTAATCAATTCAAGACAAAATGGCAACTTTGTGACGTCTCATGTACATCATTGCCAAAATGATCAAACTACATCTAAGTGTATTTCATTGCGCCTTGACGTTGTACATGCCAGATTAAGGGTGCAGCACAGGACTTGCATAGCGTTGCACGTAACTTGCATACTGCTCCCCTAACATAGCATTGCCAGGCAGTGATGGAAGAGATTTAAAACATACACATGTTTTGAATTACATTCAAACAAGTGACTGAATATACGTTTGCCATTGGCTAGATTCTTTAACCCGTCATCTAATTCCTGGGCCCCATTTCATAAAACTTGTCATCAATAACAAACGCTTAATTTCTATGACAAATTTGCTCCTAGCCAATCAAAAACCACGATTTCAGTAGCTTATAACACTTATTGTAACTAGTTGTTGATAATAATAATAATAATATTTTGTGTTTATATAGCGCTCAATACATCGATCCAACAATGTGCCTAAGTGCTGTACAGATATATTATTACCCCGGTCATTGGATTCAGGCTTACCCGCACACAATGTGTGCACATTTTCCACTCCCTGGGGAGCATTCCAGCCAGTCACCATTTTACAAGCGCACACTTGCTCGTCCAACTACATGAACTTTTGCATCCTACTGGGTACCCATTTAACACCTGGGTGGAGAGTAGAAAGTGCAGGTAAATATCTTGCCAAAGGATAGTAGTGCCGTGTCGGTATTCGAACCCTCGACCTTCGCGTCTCCAGTCAAGCGCCTCAAACTACTCGACCACGACACTCCCAAGTCTTATGGAACAAGGCCCTGATCTTTAACACGTGAAGTACCACCTACCTTTTCATCTTCAACTGTGCACAGAACTTGGAGTTTCTCGATTCCATAGCAGATCGGGACACGTTTAGCTAGAGAGAAAAGGTGGAATTTTAAAGATAGAAAGGCTTACAATTTTCCTGGAAGATATCTGAAGAATAAGATATTAACTTTAAATAATTCCAAAATATACTACAGGTACGAATCTTCACCGATTAGCGCTGTATAGACGATCAACAGAAGGTTACATGATATTCTTTGGCACAGGTACATGTAGGTGCATGGGAATGTTTCATAAAGACTAAGATCAACTTTAAGTTAGACTAACTATTATGGCAGGCTGTTCCTGCCACTGTTTTCTCTCACCATTTACTGGCATTGGTCTCTCAAGGGACGTACAATTCATGGTCACAAATCTACAGAATTTACATGGTTGATAGTTCATTATTGAAGAAAAAGTAAGTTTCTAAAGATCATAATGGCAAGAACATCCAGTTGCATGAATAGCCTGCCGTAGTTAAGTCCAACTTAAAGTCGATCTTACTCTTTGTGAAACACTCCCCAGGAGATCACACAATAAGTCTTCTATTGAAATCAGTTCATACAAAGATTCTTGTAAATTGTCCTTCCTTCCGAAAATACCTACAGACTGGAACTATTAACCACGATCCATAGTTAACAATCAAGATCCCGACGTATTCAAGGCTCATGTGTAACAGTATTATCTATGGAATTATTCTACAATTTTATGAACACACCCAGTCCAACTCATTTTACTCCAACAGGGGGGTGTTTCAGAAGATACTAAGTAGAACTTAACTCTAAGTTGGACCTAAACATTATGGAGAGCCATTTGTAGCCCTTAAAAAAAATGTATTCAAGTAATTATAACGTTTTAGACGTTTTATAAATTCCACATCAAGAACATGAAATCCCCTTGATAATAGAAAATATGAATGGTTTGAATCAACATTTTATGCCTTTTAAAATAACTTTCATCAAATATTTTCATAGATGCTAACGGTTTTCCAATTGTTAAGACCAACTTAAAGATAAGTTCAAACTAGAATCTTTGTGTAACACCCCCCAGGAGTGTTGAGCTGTATCATTTCAGATTCAGATTCAGATTTGTGGCACAGAAAAAAAAGAAGGGCAGAGACAAAAAAAAAAAGATCACTCACATGCACCCCAATGAAGTCCATCTTTCACTATCGCACGAACCGCTTTTTCGATGTCACCGAGATCCGTCTCGTCATCTTCGGGCTTCACGTCAAAGAGAACGCTGGATTTGGCGATGACAACCTCTGTAAGCGTAATAATAATAATAAAAACGTAACTCATAAAGCGCTTACCACCGAAGTCTCTAAGCGCTATAACAAACAAAATGGACTGAAACAATTACATATTAAACAAAACAAAAAAGTGCAAATAACCCAACAAATTACAATACATATAAAATACACATCAATGTGAACAGAGTAACTTATATCATTTAATCATCAAAAGCAATTTTAGAATGATATCAGATAACAAGGTCTCAAATTACCAAGAACTATCATACTTGTTCATGAATGCATATGATGTTACTAAAGATTATTATTATTTCATATTATTTAGTTGTGACTGCTGAGAGCTAGAATTGTGCTTATTAGGGACTTTTAGATTTGCACAACGACAACGTGGATTGCTACGATCGACGTCCCTTTAATGCACTGCCTTGAATGGGCGTCACACGTATCAGTCCACGCGAATCTAAAAGTCCCTACTGTAAGGCTATAACAACATGTGACTTTCTGGCTCTGAGCACCTACATTGCGTGTAATGTTAGCAGAAAACGAATTTCTGTAGTATTGGGTATGGACAATAAAACTTGAAACTTGAATACAATAAATTGTTGAACTTCCTAGACCTTTTCTCAAAGAAAGATACACGTACATGTAAGCCCTGGTCAGACCGTTTCGTTATGAAAGAAACTGCTGGGCAGCAATTGGAAAAAATGATGAATTGGTATATTCTGTCATTTCTGTGAGGTACTGGAATCATGAAAATAGGGACTTTTAGATTCTGCACAATGAGAACGTGGACTGCCTTTCAAGGCAATGTAAAGTCCTTTTAAGGCACTTGCAGTGACGTCACATTGCCTTAAAAGGGCAGTCCACGTTCTCGTCATGCAGAATCTAAAAGTCCCTAAAGCTAAGAAATGGACTCGGTCTTGTGAAGTTTAACTGTGCACACAAATGGGTGTATGGAGCTGCACAAACAAGTGTCCCAAATTCTCAGCTAATTTTCGTATCTCGCATATGAGAACATTTGAAGAGCAATCCATTTCAGGGAGCATTATTATACAGATTATGAGCTCACAAATCATGGCACACTTAACTTACGCACAAAATATTTTTCTTTTCAGTGATTGGTAGGCTTTAAACCTGGACTCAAGTCAGTACTGGTCATTTTGATAACTTGCTTTGGAAACTACAAATCGGGATCTTTACTTACTCTTTGGTTTCTTCACCTCGATTTTGGTTTTAGGAGCTGGTTTCTGAATTTAAAAAAAGAAGGGAACATGACAAAAACATACATGACATACATTTTTGCGTTCTTAAATCTCAGAAAAAGTTAGATTTATTTAATACTTCCTAAACAAATATATACATTACAAAATGATTAAGTGATTTAATATTTTTTCCAACCCTGATTTCCAAGAGGTAAGACTGACTTTATAGATACATTATTTGTATTTCTAATACGGTAATCATGTCACACAGACGGTAATAAAAGTCGTGGAATGATAAATAGTGAAAAAAGCTGTCTTGTCTTTTCAGATAAGTCAAAGACACCTTCCACAGATACCATTTTGATACATGGGGCTCAGGGTGAAATAGCCCCCGAAATTCCAAAAAGGGCCCCGAAAATCAGAAAAGAGCCCCCTTAAATTTGCAAAGAGTTCAATGCAAAACAAATTTTAGAATGTTATTTTCATGTAGGCGAGGTTGAAAAGTAGCCCCCGAAAAATAAATATTATTTTTTTCCCTGCCATCCAATTTTTAAAAACATACATGTACACTGCAAGAGGAATGACACTTGAAGCGTTTGTACAAGAAAAAAATTGACTCACCGCTTCCTCCTCCTCATCTGATCCAAAGCAGTCAAAATCATCATCATCATCATCGTCATCTCCGGCAGGTTTCTTGGCAGCAGCTGGGGTGCCTGCAGGGCCATAGTCACCGAGAGCTTTGGCTACCCCAGGAAGGCTGGTTTGAAAATAGAGTGGTAAAGACACAAGATCCTACTTACTCAAATCGTTCAATTGTGTATTTGCTCATGAAAAATGAAAAGCAAGACTTGAACCAAGGATTGTACACAAATCAGCCATTAAAGTGACTTGGTGACATTGTTGAAGGTTGATGAAAAAATTGCTTCATTTTTGTATAAAATGTTACTTACTATATTCCTTCTACTGTACATACTAACCCTCTGACATGCAAAAAATCCTGGAAAAATTCTCAAACCACGAAGATATCTATGGTTTTCTTTGAAGGAGTCGATGTATGACACCCTCTAACAGTGATTAACAGTAAATTCTCCCCACCATTTTTCCATTAAAGGTGAATTCCATTCATATTGAATTAGGTATCGTTAGAATGGTTATTTTCAGTTCTTCATTTTTGTTTATAAGTTCATTGTCAATAAACATAAGGGGAAGGAGATATAATGGAATGAAGTTACGAGAATCAAGTTTTTCTGAGAGAATTTCGACTACGATACCATTAGGAGATTTGGGCATGTGACGTCATTCCGTGGACTACTCACAACCCGGTCACCGCGCGCATTCTATTCGCAATCAGATAGCACTGCAGTGTACATATCAGAGTGAAAGTATAGACGTTATATCGGGATATTAATCATCAGTAAAAATGACATAAAACAGCTCAGATGAACTCGAAATGATCTTGGAGTATGATGAAGAAGAAGTTAGTAGCAGTGATGATGGTATATAAGTGAAGATGATGTCGAATTGGGCGAATTAAAGACGACGAAAATGTAAACGCTGATCGAATCGTGATGCGGGAGTTCAATCTGCCAGCTAGGCCTACTCCAGGAAGCTCCGACGCCGAGCTTCGGCGAGTGCATAGAGAAACATTCAAACAGCGGGTGGGGCGACATTATCTCAAAATATGCGAAGGGACTAATTACAATTTTGACTTTACTAGGTTGCTCAACTTCTCTGAGCATCTGGCTGGCCAGTTGAAATTATAATTTGAAGAATTAGTCTTCGATGGGGAAAAGGGGGTGATTCTTCGTCCTACCCCGACGATTCTTCCCTGTTGTATATCGTCGATTCAACATGCATGGCGAAGAAATAGTACCGCACTACCGCGCCGTCTTTCTGCTGAGTTTTTGTTTCGATCAGCACCGAGACATTTCATCTAGATCAGTAGTAATTACAAGCCAAGTTATAAACAACCGTTTTAGCTCACCTGCATTCTGATCGCGGTCTCATTGCTTAATTTGTTCGAATGACAGACGTTTCAGCTAATTTATAACCCGAGAAAAACAACTTTATCTCCAAAAAATGTCACGCTGCAATTGCAGCTCAGCTCAGCCGTTCGTAGTGCAGTGTTCACCCACTGCGGTGAAGACTGCACTACGAACGGCTGAGCTGAGCTATCGCGAGTTCTCCCCGTGCCGCGAAATTCAAGTTACGCTAATTATCAAAACAATATAGGCGAAGCCGGTGTGTCAGGATCTGCAAGACGATCAATTTTACAGTACCAAACGTCAATATTTCAAGGAAACCAAACATCGGGAAGTAACCAATGCTTATATAATTGAAAGAATGTTTATTACTTTATTGTAAATTCGATAAAACACTTCATTAAATATCACAAAAATTGCAAAATCTACTAACAAAATGCATGTTTGTGTACATTTTTACATTGAAAGAATACGTTGTACTTCCGGGTTTAGGAACAGTCCACGGAAATACGTCACATATACTACGTCACGAAGGAGAATATCAACGCTTCCGGGTTCCTCTGCTTACACTTTTGATCTTTCTAAGTCTAATAATAATTTAACAACACATGCAAATTTCTGTCAATCAATGTATTTGTATTTCTTATGTCATAAGCATTCCAACAATAGCAAACATGCATATTTTCATCACTTTCTTCCAAATTCACCTTTAAAAAAAGACATATAACAGGCTATACAAAATTAGGGATGTCAGACGCTCGCGCTGCAATCCTGAAATCGAGCCATCAATGTGCGTACGAGCCAACGGTGATTGTAGTCGAAATAAAAACATGCAATCTTTAAAAATTCATTAAAAATCAAAATTAGCAGGAAAGAACTAATTGATAAATAATTACCGTAGATTAAAGTTGTATTCCAATATTGGAAGCATTTTCTTCACAAGTAGAATTGTAGAATCAATCAAAATATGGCAGTAAAGATGAGCTCTAATTCGCCCATTGGCCCTTTGCAAGCGTTTGAAAGGCATTGCTGCAGCCATGGCACTGCTTTTCTGTGACTCTCTGAAAAACTGCACATGTTTACATCGAAATCTGGAGGTGATCCCGGGGTCACACAATGCCCAAATTTGGACATGCCATTCATGAAACTTAAAAAAGTTGACCATGCGCGTTGACTTTTTTGCCTACCCCATACTGTTAATATATTTGAGCAGTAAAAAAAAGTTCCAATTTATAGCGATCTTTTTCTTATAAAAATGAACTTTTTGCAAAAGTCAATGTTAGTATATTTATAAGTGATATCCAAGCTATCTTTGAGCCAAAAATCTAAGGGAAATTCATTCAGGATCATCTACAGATAATCACAAACTTCCGATGTATACTACCCAAGACTGAACAACCGTAAGTCTTGACACTCGCCCTCAACCCCTGGTGATTCTGTGCTGAACACGTACGGACCGAACGAAATATTTGCAGCTAGAAACTACTTTCCATGGATAAATTGAGAATTTTGATCGACTACAAACGTTGAATATAAGTTTTTCATAATTAAAGACTCCATTATTAAAGCAATAACTCAGTATTTATTATAGAAAAAAAAGTTGAAATGTTGAATGTGGGTACGAGTGAAATGCCGGGAGGAAGTATAAATAAAAGAAAAGAGTGATGTTATCATCAAGCCGCAATGGCCACGTGCGCGCACTTGGAAATTTCCATTGTAAGCGCCGGCATGTGGCTCTTCTTCAAAGTGTACAAACTCCCTCTTTAAAAAAGATAAAATGCAAGAAATTATTAAAACAATGTTTCAAGGGAAACTAAACACTGTTTCGAGGGAAATTACGTAGAAATGAGCAATTCTAGTGACTCAGCTGTAATTGTAAATATACAGGTGTTATTCTCCTGATACATTTGTAACATTACAAGAGGTTTTCTGGACATTTACCATATTTGTTTTCCTTTATCAAAAAGCAATTTTACATGTACTTGGAATTCATATATTTTTCCACCATGACTGCCAGAATTTTAATCCAAGTTTACATTGAAATATCATCTTATATTTGTATCGCTGATTATTTGAAAATCTTTACTTGAAAATAAGCGATCCTCCAGATCCTCAAATCGATCCTTAAATTTTATCAGGAAACATTTTTTCTGTGATATTTTTTTTTTTTAAATCTTCCTTTTTCTTTGTTTTTCTTTGTTTGTTGCCATGGCAACCTTATATTTTAATTTTAAAAATGTTGTGGAAAGATGTCCCTGCCATTATCTTGGAATGCAAAGTGTTTTGAGTAGCAATTTGATCTGGAAAGTAAATACCGGTATATTACTTTATAAATATTTTCTTATTTTCTTTGTTTTGTTTCCATGGCAACAATATATTTAATTTCAAGGTTTCTCTTAAAAATGTTGATAAAAGAATATAATGAAGAAAAGTTCTGTTGAAATTTCAATGAGAAACAAGATATATTTTTTGAGATATGGCACATCAAACAATGCTTGCAATGTTGAGGTATGTACTTTTTACTATGTACTTAAATTACACTCGGTGCCATGCTTACATTGTAATTTCCTATGCAAAAACTTCAGGAAATACCCCTAAATAAAAATATTACAAAATTAATATCTCGAGAATCGATTTATATTTTGACTCCATTTTTTTTCCATATTGAATGATAAATTGTGTTCTCCAAATACAGTGCAAAATTGTCATGATTTAATGGACTTCAATTTTTAGTCTATCATCCCTAACAAAATCTGTCAACACTTAAATGTCTGGAATGGAATATAAAGCCATTTTATTGCTTAAAAAAATTGCTAATATGCAATTAAATTGTAATAATATAGTTGGGAGAATTAAGGAATTGATCAGATCCGTTTTTCTCAATTTGTACCATGAATAATGGTCCGTTTTTACTCAAATTTTCAGATTATCTTAAATCGTACATCTAGCATTGAAGTCACTACCTAAGCACCACTATCTCTAATCTGAACAATGTTACAAAGTCCCTTTAAGTAATTCTTTGCATTTTCCTCCCATTCCCCCATTTGGTGAGGTCATTATCTTACATGTACGTTCCCCTCACCTGAAAACTCTTTGAGAGACTAGGGGGAATTTCTTGATAGGACTACGGGTTTGCTGTGTGCAGACTTTTTCACCCATTAATGGTATTTCCACCAACTCTGGTGTCAGCGAAATATGGCCTTCTGCACATGGAAACTGACCACCCACTCCCTTTAAGTAGACTTCGCAACTTATTTGCTATTGATTTTGAGTGCGATTTTCTCCTCCACAGCATAGGCGACACCAAATACTTGATAATACAGTCAAACCTGTCTATAGCGACTGCCCAAGGGAAACACAAAAATGGGTCTTCGTAGACAGGTGGTCTTTATAGACAAGTTCCTTTAGTACATGATTCAATGGGACAGTGAACAAAATACACGGGGCTCAGGGCGAAATAGCCCCCGAAAATTTGCATAGAGTTCAATGCAAAACAAATTTTAGAATGTTATTTTCATGCAGGCAAGGTTGAAAAGTAGCCCCCGAAAAATAAATATTAATTTTTTCCCTGCAATGGGAAACCATTTTCATGGGAAACAAAAAATGTGGTCTAAGTTGCAGAAAAGTGGTCACTAATGCAGGTTTGACTGTAACAAAAAGCAGTAATAAAGCAGCAGTAATTGACTTTAACTGTAATATTGACTTTGACTGTAATAAAGCAGCAGTGAAAAAAATACACGGGGGCTCGGGGCGAATTAGCCCCTGAAATGCCCAAAAGAGCCCCGAAAGTAATAAAGGAGCCCCCAAAATTTGCATAGAGTTCATTGCAAAACAAATTAAGAGTGTAATTTTCATGAAAGCAAGCTTGAAAAGTAGCCCCCCAAATTTTTAAAGTATTTTTTCCCTATAAAGCAGCTACATACCTGGTAAATGTGGAAGAGTATGACTTGACTTGGTTGTACCATCTGAGTGCATTGAAGAGCTCAGCAGCTGGGGCCCCGCTCATGGCTTTGAAGATGACTACATCGGCTTGAGATGCTGTGTACCTGGGATTCGGGGAGAGACAAGTTATAATAATAATAATAATAATAATAATAATACATGTAAGAATCTTTTCAAGTCCACTCCAAATTTTATTCAACCGAAAATGGAAATTCTTCTTGCCCAATTGATCGTGAGCCCGGCAGCCACTGAGCAGCGCCAGATCGACGTTGCTCTATCCCCTATTGATGAGCACCAAACAAGGTAGCAGCAACTCCCGTCTTTTAACGTCTTTTGGTAGTTGGAAGAGTAAGAATGGCATTAAATATCAATGTGAATTTAAATAGTGCTTTACTGAAAAACTACAATCACCTGTTTCTTTTTCATCCTATTCCCTTTTTTTCCCTTCTTTTTCATCCTTTTTGAGTGAAATTGAGCCTCAAAATCACCAATGGTTAAGACTACTTTATTTCGCCTGTAGTATTGGAATCATGAATTTGTAGCTTATTATAGTTTTGTGAAACAGCCCAATAGGTTGTCCACTTTCATTTCCTGACACGTAGGTCGCGGCAAAGATACAAACATCATCGGTTTTGTGTAACAGCCCCCAGGAAACCCCTTTCTCTCTTATTAGCCTCCCCCTTCTTCGTTGATTCTGTCCTCAGTTTGTCTCCATCTGACCATCTTCCTTTTTTACCATATTCCCCTTGTTATCTTTTTCTACTTTGTCTTCATTACTGAAGTATATGGTAGAGGTGTCGTGGTAGAGTGGATATGTCACCAGATTGTGGACCACAAGGTCCGCTATTCAAGTCCCGCCGCGGCACGTAAGTTATATCCTTTGGCAAAATATTAATCCACACTCGACTCGGGTGAGATAAATGGGTAGCTGGTAGGATTATTCCTTGAAATGCACTGTGCACTGATAACGGCTGCCGGAGCTAAAACTAGGGTCAGTGCATTAGTGATTTCATAATGTATTATGCGCTGTACAAGAACTGAGTATTTAAAACTTGAAGCTTGGCTGCTGCCTCCGAATTCTTCAGGTATTTGGAGTAAAGGTAAAGCCAGTTCCAATATAATAATGACATCACTTTGAAATTACGACCTTAGTCTCTGGTTAGGCAGCCTACAAGTACAAATATTAAGGGCGTGCTGGTCCGAGAATGAGGATATTCTAATAAACACAGACAAAATGCGTCCTCAAAAATAAGGATCATCTGCATTTTCGCAGACGTTTTTTTTTCATCAACGCTCTGCGGGTTTCAGGTTACCAAACCAAAATTAGATCTAACTATTGAAAATTGGGGGAGAAAGTTTAAAAAAGAGAGCCGACCCTACCCAAATTAAATCAGATGCTATTAACGAACGAAAGAGACAGAAAATTCGGTCTAGGTCTAGGTCTAGGCTAATATTCCCTCGCACGGCAGCCAAGATTTATTTCCATAATTTCATAAGTTATCCTAAAATTATAAAAATACTGAATTTGATTCATTTGCAAACAATTACAGCTCAAAATTGTAATTTAAAGTCTTACTCTTATAAACTTGGTTCACATGCAACATGATTATTTTAAGTGAGCTACATCTAGTCTAGATCTAGTACATGTTAGGATCCCTCGCAACGTCTGATGGGCAGATGGGCGGGGCCGCGCCGGGCCGAGCAGTCAAGCGGGCGCGGGGTTTTACTGTTAATACACTTACAGAGACTTGAGTAGGCCGTCAATGGCCGTAGGCCTGCCTACTCATCCGGCGCGGAGCTGCAAGCTGAGGCCTGAGTGAGAGAAAATACAAGAAATCTTGTAACGTCAAAAAATAATGATTTCTTAAAATATTACCCTTCAATGTAACTGCGATCCGAAAGGAAATCATTAAGGGCAGCTTGCCCACCACTTTTCTTTAGATCACCGAAACCCATTTTTGGTTAGAGATGAAATTTCTTGAGAATTATAGATGAACAGCAACAATGTCACACGTGTACTTCGGTGAAAAGGATTATTTTGTTCGATGATTCTCAAATTTAAATGGCTTACGTTAGGTGCACGCGTAGGAAGAAGCTCAGCGAAATATCTAGTTTTCGCTGATGCGCTGCAAAAAGGTATTTACAGCAATCCGGTATTATAGTATGACCTCATCGAAAAATTGTTTACCTGCCTCATGAACTGGCTGCCGATCTTCTGCGATCACGGCGTCCCAGAATTATCAAAATGAGTGATACACCAACTTTTCGTAACCTTACAAGGGAAACATATGGACAACCAAAAGAGCATCAGAACAAGGTAAATAACATATTTGTTTTTTACCTCCGTTATGCCTTTTGAAGTAAGAAAATACACGTGATAATGTTTTGGTTGGATATATGCATTGGTGCTGTGTAAGGAATTGCAATTTACTGTACAGTAAGTAAATGGGATAGCGCGCAGTTGTGAGTGCGGGCATTATTCTGGTGAACGTGCATTCTGTTTGACAATTTGTAAACCGTCATGAATTCTGGAAAATCATTTCAAACAGTGTGTTGTGGAATTAAGCTGCATAGCAGTGGGATGCCAAAGAAACTATGTGAACATTATGAACCTTTAGAATTTAGACGCCATAGGGGGACGCAACTTTTACGTCACTTCCGGTTTCCCACGGTCGCCGCCATTTTGTCGCGGTGAAAACATCGTCTGCGCTAGGTGAATACAAATACACGTAGGTCTACACGCTATAGCTATATCGAGATCAGTATTACCAGTGTAATTGCGTTCATTTTTCTAGCTCAAAATGTCATTCAACTACACGGAACAGCTCAGTTACGATGCAAGGCACCGTTACAAAGTAAAGTTGGACTCCGTTGGCCTGGAAAAATGCCCTTACAAGCATCCAGCAGATGTTTGGATAGATGATCCAAAGGCTTGGCCGCGCATTGAATATGCCGATGTCTACTGCTACTTAGTTGAAAGCCACGGTAAGTTGAATGTCTAGTCTAAGTAGACTAGTAGTATTAGTAGTCTACATTAGATTTTTTTCTAGATCTAGATCTAGTCTATATTGGATCTTGGAGGGATTTATCTTGAATGAATTGTTTGATGATATTCTCTACGTATTAGTCACAAGCCCCACTGAATCCATGATTTAACCCGATTTATTGTAGTAAGAGTAAGAGTAAGACTAGGGTGTCTGATCGCGCATCCGATGTTGTGTGCTAAAATCTTTCCCATATTATAGAGATTGCACACATCCCTATGTGGTCTACATGCATTGCGCGACCAAGCAAAATTGGTCAATGGTTTTATGAAAAATAATATAATTTATAACAAATGATCCTGAAGGTGAAACTCAATAAATGTGGTGTCATATGAAAGAGCAGGTTTTTCTCCATATTCCCCATAGGGGGCCACCCCCGGAATTCTAAAAATATCTTGCTCAAAACAGCGATTTAAACATCGTTTCCATGGTAACTCGGAGATTTACCAATTTCACGAACTGCTCCCCCGAGGGATAAGTTGGGCCAGCTGTAAAGAATATATCCATGCACTTATTTTTTCTCTAGTCCCAAGGGATCATTTGTTACAACAGTTTGAAAATACCCTTGCTCCACACTTTGCATATCGTGCTGTGCATTAGCTGTGCAGCTTTTGAGCAGAAATTATAACTCTGCGTGAACCACTTTTCTGTCCATTCTGACCAAAATGCTATGAATATTGCACAATTTTTGAGGGGCTGTATCTTTTGATAGAAACATCGGTGAGTCTTGAAATTTGAAAGGTATTAGACTATTCTGATTACATTTTTTATTCCAATATCAAACAAAAATGGTGAAAAACGATCCCAAATTGAAAATTGAAAAATCGTTCAGACACCCTAGTAAGACTAAAGTTAGAGACGAGTAAGAAAGGGCAAGGGCCACTTTTCTAATTCTAATTTCTAGCCCAAACTGGCAAAGGCAAATTTACATTTTGTACTAAAAATTGTAGGCACCCGAAATCTAGACTAGATTATCTAGATGTCTTTGTAAATCTTAGGTTGAACTAAAGTACAGAAAGTACTAGAAACATCAACTTAGTTTGAAACACCGTGACCTGCTATGGCGCTAGTTCAGAAGTCTAGATCTCTATCCAAACTTTGATTGACCCGAAACTCCGGCGTGAAGATACCCAAATGAATTAAATATTCATCAAATGTCCAAATAATGGTTATGATTTAAAAGTCGATGTTTGGTACCTGTTTTGTGACAATTTTCTGATTTTTTTTGGAGTATTTTTCCTAAAACAAAGACTTACACTGCAGCACAATACAATTGCATACCGTACCGATGGTGGTTTGCGGGCGCGCGCGTGTGTTCAGTTAGGCCAAATGTTTTTTCGAAAAAAAAAGGAAGGAGGCCCTTTTTTTTCCTCAAAATGGCCGCTCGGTACATTTTCCCTGACAGTCGGGCTATCTTTCAAGATGGCCGCCAAAATTTTTTAATTTTTTCTAAATCAGAAATAGATTCTAGATCCATTTTAGCAAGTGTTTTTCATGTTTTTTTATTAAGCGTCCATAAACTAAGATTACAGGCGCCAACTTAACACACGCGCGCCCGCACCTGACCATCGGTACGGTATGCAATTGTATTGTGCTTCAGTTTGCACATCCGGTGTGTAAAGCCAATACGGGCTGGATTTTTGTGTACTACAAGCCGGACTTTGGTGCATGTACTGGACATTTTGGGAACACGCATGCGGTCCCTCCGACTCCGGTGTGGGGGGCGGGGGATGGAGCTCTTAACTTATAGCTCCATGGTTTGCCGTGAATCCTGTGAGAAAGTGCATAGAGTCTATTATAATATTTTCTATCCGTTTGATAATAATTCCTCAAATCAATATTACACAAATCATACTTTGTTACTTTGTCTTCAATTTATAGGCAGTATGCTTATTTCTCTTTTCTTTCTTTTAAATTCTTTTTTCCCCTTTCTTTTGCAGGGCCATTCTCACATGCCACGATGAAAAACTACCGCAGCTTGGAGGCGCACCAACAATTTCAATCAGGCTGGGTGCAGACTGTTTATCATCAGGTCACGTCCAAGGGGTTTATCATCTTCAGCGCAGCTGTCAAACCGTCTCAGCGCTTGAATGACGCTGCCCACAGTCCCTGGGTGGCAACCGATAATACCGGACAGGTTGTTGCAGCTCACTGTACGTGTATGGCGGGACTGGGGGAGTCGTGCAGTCATGTTGCAGCAGTACTCTTCAAAGTTGAGGCAGCAGTACGTCTAGGATATACGACACAAGCTTGTACTGATGTTGCCTGCCAGTGGAACAATAGGTTCGTGTCAAATGTTGAACCAGCAAAGATTAGGAACATTAAGTTTTACAAGGAGAAGGCAAAGGACAGCATCAAAAAGGACAGTGTTAAGAAAAGGAAGTGGTCTCACTGCACCAAGGACGAAGAAGATGCTTTTATTTCTTCTCTCATGGAAACCGACAAGAAACCGGTGGGACTTAGTTTGTTTGAGGGACTTCCTTGCCACCTATTTAAAAGGAACCCAGCCATGACACCCCAACGTAAACTCCCAGCTCCACTCCCAGCTCCACTCCGTTCCTACTACACGCAAAGCACTGAACTCCAACCACAGAAATTCACAGACCTTCATCAGATCACCATATCAAAGGAAGAGATCGTCGAGATCGAGAAGGCCACAGAAAAACAAGCGGACAGCGTGGTCTGGCATGACCAGAGAGCTGGCCGAATCACTGCATCACGCGTGTACGATGTCCTCCACACAAATCAAGATAACCCAGCAAAGTCAGTTCTCCTCAGTATAACAAACCCCAACATAGCCCCAATCAACACTGCTTCCCTGAAGTATGGTAGGGATAACGAATCTCATGTACTTGAGGAATATTCTCGAACATGCAGCCACAATGACATAAAGATCACTCACACTGGACTACGACTGGATGCAGAGCGTCACTGGCTTGGGGCAAGCGCCGATGGACTTGTGGAGTGCAGCTGCCACGGAAAAGGAGTGATAGAAATTAAGTGCCCCTACTCTGCAAGAAGCATGTCAAGAGAGGAATACCTCAAGAGCGAGTACTGCTGCCTAGATGCGAACTCCAACCTTAAGTATGGACATCGCTATTACGATCAAGTTCAGATGCAGATGCGTGTTTACAATGTTGATTACTGTACATTTATTATCAAAGTAGGGAACGAACTCATGATTAACCAAGTGCAATATAATGATTTTTATGTACATGCTGTTGTCTCAAAGCTTGAGAAGTTTTGGAGAGCGAACATTATATGTGAACTTGTAACCCGGGTAGTAGAAATAAGGAAGAGCAAAGAAGATGTGAAAAAGATGGATGGAGATACTCTGTTCTGCTACTGCCAGGAGCCATACGACCAAAATGACGACAGTCCGGACAATGTAATGGTCGGCTGTGATGGTGCAAAGTGCAAATATGAATGGGTTCATCTACGATGTATTGTTCCGAAACGAAAGACAGTACCTAAAGGAAAATGGTACTGCAAGGGCTGTAAAAATGCTTAAAGGTGTCCTTGATGTTCGTATTTTGTTGCCATGCATACCTAGTTGCTAACAAATTTGTAACAATATTTTTGTGAAATGTTTTCTCTTTTCAAAAATTATATTTGAACACTTCATTGGCAATGGATCGTGGAAACAAATCCCTTGGCTTTTCAGTTTATGCATGAAGTCTGTATGTGTTATGCACATGATAGGTGTTTTAGTCCACACCTGACGTTTCACTTTTTTTTTAATTACCGTAAGCAAGATAAAACACTATTTGACAGTGTACATGGGTACGTACATGTAGTACATATCTTTTTTTAAATGCGAAGGTAAAGATTTTATGATTGTGATTGATGTTAATCAAGTTCACTTTATAACCTTTACTTGGTCTTCGAAGAGACGCTTTATATCACATTGTTTTATTTTGATGTAAAGGGATTCGGTAACTTTGTTTTAGATTCTGAAATAAAATCCTGGATTTAGCTCATGCTGCAATGATAATTATAAACCTTTAGGTCAGTCAGGAATCCCATGACTTTTGCAAGCCGATTGCCTGTCTGAATATCAAGATATTTATGATTGGAAATTGAAATTAACAAAAATTTGTTTTCCTAACAGTTTTTACGAGTATGGTATAAACAGTCACTCAAAGATTTTAATTTTTTTTTGAGGCACTTCATGATCATTTTGAAGCTCAATTTTTTTAGGGCTTCAATATTACACCATATCACAGACCCTGATAACACGTAGGGTCACGCATCTTAGATTTAACATTGTTCAACGATGCCTTTAACAATCATTGTTCCTGTAATTTACTGAATACCTATGAAAATACATGTACAATTGTACATGTACAGTACTTCCATGATCGATGTAAAAATAAAAGATACTGAAGAGACATGGAAACTGGATTTGTATGTCTTAACTTTGCAATGAAAGGTGACCTTGTAATAAGTCGGAAGGAAATAAAATGGCATGTGAAGAAAGTGAAAAAAGTGTTCCAAAAGAATAACCACTTGATTAGAAGTGAGTGAAAAAAAGGTGTCAAAGCAAATTCAATATGTGACAGTTTGAGTGTTGATTGAAAAGATCAAGAATAATTGAGAGTAGGCAAGGAGGCACAGGGTGTAATGAGAAATAAAGAGATAGTAGCAAGGTACATGTATATACCGAGTTGTCAGCAAGTCTCCAAAGTTAAAACTTTCCTCTCTGTTTTCCTTTTCACTACTACTTTTCTATTTTCTACCTTCCCATCTTGAAAAAAAATTCTTAAACTCTTGTCACACCTGAACTCTGCAACTTGTTTCTTTTCTACCTCTTCTCTGTACTTTTTTTCACTTTCTCCAAGATCAAATTTAAATATGGTACATGAGCCTTGACTGAAAGGTTATGAAAGAACAATGAGTACATGTATTGATATGGAATATAAAAGAGATGGATAAGAGCAAGAAGAGATGTGATATTGTGACATTTAGATAAGGGAAGGTGGCAGGTGCCCCTAGTGTAGATTTCCTTTTTTCTTCTTCCCTCTTCCCATCCCTTTATCTTGTCTGTAATTTTTCCTAAAAGGGGGTATGATAGTGAGTGGCGAATGCTTGCAAATATTGCAATTGTTCAATTCATCAACTTTTTGACAAATGTTGTCCAAAACAAGCGGAGACATTTTGAAAATGTTTAAGATATCATTGCAGAAAAAGTATTTATGACAATTAAAGCCGTTTGCGAACATGATTGCGAACTTTTTGGCAAATGGTAACCTTTTAAGAACCCTGACAAAACCCAATATACGCTATGTTCGCCACTCAGTGTGATACCCCCTTAAAGGTTTCTTCCTTATCTTTTGTTTTCTTTCATTTCTTATCACCCATTCACTTATTGTTCTTCACTTCTTCATATCAAACTTGATTCCTCTCTTCTCTACACTCCATTCCTTCCAATTCCAATGGGTTTCTCCCTCATTCGACTATCAACCAACAAATATTTCTTGCTCATTTTTCAAGTTTCATTTTTTTTAAATAAATATTTAAAAAAAAGGTTCTTTCTCTTCATTTCTCACTTTTTCATTTCTTATGAACTGTTGCTTCTTCATATCCAACTTCCAAGTGCAACTCCATTCTTCTCTACCATTTACTTTGCATTCTTTCCCACAGTTATATCACAAAAGAGAAAAGAAAAAAAAATGGAACTAGTGTAACCAGATTATGTTATTTAAAAAGAGCTTTAGAATTTATTAAGAAATAAAATCAAATACAGTTCTTCCTCCATTTAGTCATGATTGCCATATCGTGGTAATTTAGTAAAATCAATAAGTTTCCATCTACTGTAAATGCTGATATTTTCGCGAGAATAAATTTTCACGCTGAGCTACCCCAAAATATATTTGTGTTGCACGCAATTCAGCCCTTTCATAACATGCATGAAAAGTGAAAAATCATTCTTATATTTTTGCTGGTTCTAAAATTTGCGCCTTCCGAGTTCCGATCGTAGCGGGAAACCTGCGAAAATTAATGTATCGCAAATTTTTCTACTTTTACAGTATTACAAAATATGCAATTAACCATTCAAATAATATTGTGTGGACATGATTATACATCAGTTGAGACTAGGGAAATGCAAATTAAATTATTATCAGCACATTATTAATCAACATGAAGATGGACTATGTATCCATTGTTAGGTTTCAGAAACTATAGAACATTTTACTACAATGCAAGAAATATGAAAGAGAAACAAGGGAAACGCTCTCAGCGGTCTCGCCTGCATTACGCAATTCAATACAATGAAAAATTGAGGTTGGAACATTATTTATAGGCAGGATGGCCCATTAGCAGGCCCCAAAAAATGAAGAATTAGATATAATCAGCATTTTGAAGTGAATATTGACTAAGAATCATCAGAAGAATTAATAACTATTATTTGTACCAAGATCGATAACTTGAATGAAATACATGTATGAATAACAAAAATTGATTTATTAATTCTCATATTAAGTTGTGAAAACATAATCCAAGTCTACTGACCTAAAATGACCTTTTACCTTGTGACCTGGAATTTGTGTCTGTGAGTGTCATATGATTTGTGATACTTGATAACCCTTGGGTACAAGTTTCATGGAATTTGAACAAATAATTTTGAAAATATGCTAACAATTCATATATTTAATCTTGCACAGTAGCACTTCGCTGAGACAGGTACGGTAAGCTAACTCTGAACTGGAAAGCAGGAGTCTGGAAAGACAGACCTCCCCCCCCCCCCCCCCCCCCCCACAAAAAAAAAAAATCAGTAAAAGTGAGCCATGAGATCTTAAGTTCGAAAAGATGAACATCAAAGAAGGAACGCCGTGGCGCAGATAATCTGACAAGATTGAAGAGCGCCATCTAAACGCTAACAACAACAACACTATTCTGTTCGTAATTTCTGCAGTTTGTTCAAAACAGTTAATCAATCCTTGAACACAATGCTCCCACCGAGATTGACCAAAATGCCACACACCCGAAGCAGTCTATCTATGCTGGATAAGTTGTCACCATCTGCCTCGCCTTTCCGTGACTTCACCATGGAAACTGAAAGAGTGTTCTGAAGAATGGTGTAGCGATTCTTCATAAGTCCAATGACACGCTCAACATGGATTCTAATTGACGACATTCCTCGCGACTTCTCCACATCCCATGCTGACAACTGACTTTTCCCCCTTGTAAATGCTGGAGTAATAAGCTCTGCTGAGCAAACCGTAGCGAAGTCATCATGAAGAAGGAATCCTCGATCGGCTAGGATTTGATCGCCAGGTTCATGGAGATGAGGGTCTATGAATCCACTCTGTCTTACAAGTTCTACATCTGATACACGCCCGCCCCATGCTGGAGATAGGTAACAAACAGCTCCAAGAGGAGTGCATGCTATGAATACCTTAACAGTTGTATGTTTTTTGTAATTTGAGTACACTTGAGCTCTAGCATGCAGGTTTTTTGGTTGCTCCATGAATATCTCAAAGCAGTCTATGATGCTTGTCAAACGCGGGAACTTCTTTCTAAAGGCTGATGGAAGGGTAGCTGAAATTGATTCCCGAGACGGCCACTTTAACATGAAGTCCAACTTGTAGAATATCATGTCAATCCAAAGCCAGAAGTACCCCCTGATTGTTGACTCTGCCACTCCGGTCTGGTAAGCGAGGAATTCAAAAGACAAGTCCAGCCGCAAGCGAACAAGAGTGAAAAAGAACTGGTCTTCATATGACAGAGAATCTTTGGTCGTAGCATGGGGTACAAACTTTCTTAATTGCTCAAATGTTTTTACGTAGACAGACAGCGGCAGGCCAGTGAAGAAACGACACTTCTTGTCATCCCCCTGAATTATCTTGGACGACAAACACTTTCCTTCAAGCTGCTCTTTCAGCTTATCTGACTCTTCTTGATATTTTTGACAATCTTCCTGCAGTTTATTGAATTCCTCACGACATTCGTTCCTTTCCTGCTTGACAGCTAGTAACTCTTCCTCAAGCTTTTTGATTTTACGCTGGTAAGCTTCTTCTGTAGACACACTGCTTTGTTGACATGCTTCGTCTGCCTGTTCAGCTTCAGGAGGTTGCATGAAATCATCTTCAAGTGGCACTGGATCTGGTACTTTGTCTACGTCCTGAAGATGCGAGAATGATAGCCGACGTTTGCTGATTTTCTCTTTCCGTTGAAAGCGCTTCAAGTTTTGATGCCCCTTTGCAGTGCTATTTGGTTTGTGTGGGAAGATAGAGGGGATGTAGTCTGGATGATTCTGCAGCAAAACTGGGGCACCTGAGCATACAAAGAAGAGGAAAGTAAACACAAATTAGCTAGACTACAGTTTACACCACGGCGGTGATTTATATTATAGTTCTGCTAAAGAATGTAATTTTTTAATACAATAAAACTTCAAAAACCTGTGAGGGGGTATCATATTCATAGAGTAGTGCTGTAGCCGAACCGAATGGAAGTTCGCCGAACATGACACTTCCGAACCGAGTCGAACCGAGCACTAAGGCCTGGTTCGGATTTTCGGCAGAATTTTTTTTAACGTTTTCGCAAGGTAATTAACTTGTCATTTTGTACCTAATTTTCATGTCATGATTACCATACTCATTTTATATATACTTTTTTCCCATTATCCTCCTTTGTGATTTATGCCTATCCAGTGGTGGGCGCGACTTAACTGGCGCCATTTAAATCCCAAATCCTGACCTTCGCTACGTTGCGATGACAAGCCATAAACAAGAATACATGTGCGTTCTATAGGCGCTGATCAAAACAAGTTCAGCTCAAACCCAATCAACAACAAAATTAACATTTTAATTGTGTACAGTGGTAAGCTGATTCGGGCAACTCATTGACCCTAAATGGAGCATAGAGCCACGCGCGTACGCAGGGGGGGGGGGGGGTTGGGGGTTGAACCCCTCCCTTCAGTTTTTTTAATGTGTGTAATTAGGAGCAAAACACCCCGGCTGGCTGAGTTTTTTCTGGGACCAAAAAAAAGAAGAAAAAAAGTGTCCTCAGACCCCCCCCCCCCTCCCCCCTGCGTACGCGCCTATTCAGCGGCTGGCTGAGCCGTTGCGAAATTTTCAGCCTGATTTAAAAATGTTACCCCCCCCCCCTGAAAAAATCCTGCGTACGCTACTGCCTTGGCTAGATCATCTAGCTAGAGTCAACACGAACATGGCGTCTAAGTTACAGCACTATCATCATAGAGCTATATAATTAATAAGACTGGTTAGTCTATAGCTCTATGGGGGGTATTCACTTTCACCTCTCTTACTTGCGTACTAATGGGGGGGGGGGGGGGCTTGTTCAGTTGTTGCCCTAGCTTAAATAAAATTCAGTTTTTCCCCTGGAATCCACATTAAAAATTGACATCATCACTCCATCAGGTTTTTCTCATAACATTATTTGTGCCAAGTAACCTAGATTGCTAGAGATCTATAGCTGTAATATTTGTAGAAAATATATAGAGGAACTACGTTTGGTAAAGCTTGCAAATACAGACACTAGACTCTAACTTAGGTCTATTCAAAAACAATTTTCTTCCTTACCAGTTACAAAGTGTTTGCTGCACAGTACAGCATGTTTCCCTGGGCTCCATCGCCCACCGGTTTTGGTCAGTTTCTGACATGCATTCAACCATTTGTCTCGTCTTTCCGGAGATTTCTTTCTTGAAGGTAACTTGAAGAAAGACAATTTTTCTACACGTTTAAAGTTATGATTGGTGCAGTACACAGCTTCACAGCTTTTAGGCATGATGATAATGAAGAACCAAAACCTGGTGACGCTGCATGCTGACGACGCTGCGCGTACCCGTGTGTACTCGAGTACGTATATCATCAACGCAGAGCTAGAGCTAAGAGCGATACACGGTACATGCTTAAATACCGCGCCGCCGCATGGTCGCGTCAATATAACATGACCTCTATTTCGCGCGCAATGCGTCCAACGAGGTGACGTGAAGCTACAACATTTCACCTCGCTCTGACCCGAGGTCACAAGAGTACCCGGATGTCCCGAAAAGTTGCGTCCCCCTATATCGCGTATCCGCAGGGGCGTACGCAGGATTTTTTCAAGGGGGGGGGTTTTAAAATATTTTGCTCCCGAAAATTTGAAAATCGCGCCAGCCGAAAAGTCGCTCAGTGGGGGGGGGGGAGGGGGGGGGGTAAGCGGACATATTTTTTTTTTTTTTTTGGTCTCGAAATTTCATAATTTGACATTTTTTGTCGTTGGGGGGGGGTAAGGTCACCTTATTTAGGTTAGCCGTGGGTATAATTTTTTTTATTTTTATTTTTTTTTTAATTTTAAATAATTCAAAAAAAAAAACAAAAAAAAAAACCAAAGGGGGGGGGGGGGGGGGGGGGGGGGGTTTGAACCCCCAAAACCCCCCCCCCCCTGCGTACGCCCCTGCGTACGCCCCTGCGTATCCGAGGTATCGTGAACGTGAAATAGGAAACAACCTTTTGCAGAGACGCCAAGTTCAAAGATCGGCAATGCGTGACATTTTCATGACTCGGCGCGCGCGAGGGTATAATACACGTACAGGTATGACGTTTTTATTAAATCTAGCGCGCGCGCCGTGTGTGTTAGCCGTTTTCAGACCCTCGAAATGATTTTGATTTGATTTGATTTTATTTTATTCAGACAATATAAAAATATATACATGTCTTGGGTTACAAAACAAGGTTTAGAAAAACCCATACAAGTTTGCATCCCAGATAATTATGGACAGTAAAATGGCATACATAATTACACAGTAAATACTAATACATAAAATATCGAAGTATGACATAGGTTATAGTTCAATATAAATACAACAACAGAAATACAAGTTAGAAATTGCAAGACACTTCTATTTTAAAAATCTAGATTGAGATGTTTTACCAGAGCCGATTTAAAGGTATTTAGCGATTGACTGTTTACTACTGTTTGTGGGAGTTGATTCCATTCATTAATTGTTTGGGGATAAAAGGATTTCATAGAAATGCGTGATGTCACGCCTAATGCGTGATGTCACGCCTAATGCGTGACACTTGGTAGCTCTGCTTTTGATTTATTGATTTAAATTTTGACTTGCCAGGCACGTGAACTACTGGAAAGAGCATAAAAAGTATATCTAAAATGATACCAAGATCATCATCCTAGGTCGACGTAGACCTAGACTCTAGACTCTATAGCGAATTGAGAATTGACACTTGTGAGAGAATTATAAAATTTCTTTATTATTTTTTTTCCAGCCTACCATTTACCATTGTTTTTCACAGGATGGACATTTTCTTGTGAAAAATAATAATAATGATGATATTGAATAGAATATTTAAAAATGATAATGATGATCGTGATTATATTAATAATGATAACAACATCAACAACAATGATAACAACAATTACATTGTGGGGAAACTGGATCAACATGTTCAGTTTTATATCAATATTTCAACTAGTTCTATATATATTTTATATTTGTTTCTCTTGAACAGCTTCTTGAAGATGCGGTGCGCCCCCACATAGAATCATTCAATTACATGCTAGACGATGGACTAGCCCAAGCCGTGAGGAACATTACCCCCTTGGAATTTCTCTTGGACGATGAAAGAATCTCACTTTCATATGAGGTATGCACGGAGATGATGGAACAGAATTTAAGACAACTGAGCCCTGTCTTATAAGAGAGTTGCATTTGATCTGGATTGATTGCAAGCAAGCAAGCAGCGAATTGTGCAAGAGCGCAGTGAGCAATTTAGTTCTGGAAAGCTTGAATATCTGGCATTATAACAATGAAATACTTAAATATCACTGTGAGAAAATCATACCTATGCAACAACGAACCCTAAAAGAGCTCTTGTGAACCGTAGAGTATTTTGTGCACTGTTTGCAGGTGCTGCAATCAGTTGCAAACTTGCAAACTCTCATCTTTTTAGTACATAGTTGCGATTGATATACTCCTTCTCCTCATCTCATCCTTCTCCTCCTCCTTCCCCTCCTCCTTCCCCTCCTCCTTCCCTCCACCTCCTTCCCTCCTCCTCTTTCTCCTCCATCTCTTCTTCAGTTTTGTTTTCTTCTCCACCCATTTTTCTTCCTGCACATCTTTTACATTTTCCTCCTCATCTTCATCTTTCTTGTCCTTGTCTAGTTCCTCATCCTTCTAGCAAATGTCTGATTTCATCAATGTTTTGATTGTTCTTTTGTTTGGATTCTTTAGGATGTATTCACTTGTGTATCTAGTTATCAACCACTGCCTGAGAATGCCTTATCCTCCTCCTCATCCTCTTCCTCATCATCATCCTCTTCCTCCTCATCATCCTCTTCCTCCTCTCCCTCCTCTTCTTCCTTTGTCTCCTCATCTTCCTTATTTCTCTTCCTCCCTTTTTCCTCTTCCTTCTCTCCTCCTCCTTCTCCTTCTTCTCCTTCTTATGCTCCTCCCCCTCCTTTGAATTTCTTATCATTTTCAATTCTCCTCCATTTTCACCCCAATCACCCACCACTCATCCTCCTCCTCATCATCCTCTTCCTGCTCTTCCTCCTTTGTCTCCTCATCTTTCTTATTTCTCTTCCTCCTTTTCCCTCCTCCTTCTCCTCCTCCTTCTTATGCTCCTCCCCCTCCTTTGAATTTCTTATCATTTCCAATTCTCCTCCATTTTCACCCCAATCACCCCACCACTCATCCTCCTCCTCATCATCCTCTTCCTGCTCTTCCTCCTTTGTCTCCTCATCTTTCTTATTTCTCTTCCTCCTTTTCCCTCCTCCTTCTCCTCCTCCTTATTCTCCTCCCCCTCCTTAATCTCCTCCCCCTCCTTAATCTCCTCCCCCTCCTTTGAATGTCTACTTCATTTCCAATTATTCTCCTTTTGCACACCACCATTTTCTCCAGACCCTCCTCATCTTTGCTACCATCTTCCTCCTCCTCCAGACCTCACTCCTCATCCTCCTACCATATGGTATTATTTCATGAATGTTTTTTAAATGAACTTTTTCTTGTATTTTTCTTTAGGATGCATCCGTCGGTGTACCCACAGTTGCCAGGGGAAACCTTTTTGCCTCCACTCTGAAAGTGTATCCTTCTGAGGTAAGTCCTTAATGGATCATTAAATCATTTAATTTCCAGCCCACTGGAAATAGATGATGAATGTCTAGGCAAAACCATCTGTAACTGATTGCCAGTCTCTGCATGGATACAATTTATTCATAAAAGCATTCTAAATTTAGTCCAAGTTAAAGGCACACTGTCCTACTTGTAGCTACTTGCTCCCTCTACATAGAAAACTTCCCCAATTGGTGCTTGTTGGTCCCCCATGATCCTCTTTTTCTTATGTTAAATGAGAGCTGAGTTTATGAGATAGCCACCTGTCACAGTGACCTCGCTGGCTCGCGTGGCGGTCTAATCCCTTCTGGCTGAAGTAGTAAAGCCTGCCTTTAAAGGGTGTAGAGTTGATCTATATGCTCTATGAAGCACCAACTGACACTGTCAACCTGCCTAGCCTTTTAATTTGTGTTGTTGTAATGTTCTATAAATCTGTAATCAATCGAAAATACATTGTTAAAAGAAAATAACTGCCTCTGTACAAAGATTTTTTTTATATCTTTAAATTCATAAAGTGGTCTTTAGATCAGGTTTGACAATGATTGATTAAAGGTACTTTAATACAAAACTTTTACTTTGTATCCTTTATCCTCCAGAGCCGGCAGCGCGGGACAACATACCAGGCTCCCCTGCAAGCGAGAGTGCACTGGCAGAGCGGCAATGGAGATAGCGGGAGCGTGATGCGCCCTCTCGGACAGATCCCACTCCTCGTTAAAGTAAGTCAATCAGGGATTTCAAGTTGGGTGTTTAAGGCTGGTGTTAGTGTTTAATAAACACTAACACTAGCCCTAAACACTGAAATTGGTATCAGCTGGTGTAAGGCTTTGACCTCTGAATATCGTGAACTTCTGGTAGCTAATGTTATCGATTTGCAAAATGTCGTCTGCTGAATTGTCCTTTGTGGCTGGTGTGTGAATATTATACATACAAATGTCCTATTCACTAACACTAGCCCCTAGTGATTAACAAACATTGATTTCCAGTTCGGTGTTAGTGTTAAGCTATCAATATTGATATCGGTGTCGGGCTCTTAATTTCATCAGTGAATTTTTTGCCCGATTTAAGAGCTCTTGACTTCTCTAAACACTAACACTAACACCCAACTTGAAATCACTCAATGTATTCAAAATAATTTGTATACACATGATATAGCCAGCAGCTTGAAAAAGATCTGGGCCCCGTCATATAAAACAATCACAAGTCTTCCAATCGTTCACAAACTTGCAGTCTCCTATCTCTTATGTACATAGTTGTCGATAAAAAATAAGTTGCGATTGATATCAATTCTTTATAAGATGGGGCCCTGTTGTGGCTACATGATAACCATTTTATATGTGAATGGATGGCAAGGAGGGTGCGAAACAAGAGCTGTGTAGAACAAAGTCCTCTTTTGAGGTAGTTTCCTGTGTTAAAAAGTAGAGAAATGGTGAGAAATTCTATGCTTACTGTACATTATGTTGTTGAATTTTGCTGAAGCATCATTTTTTAGGCAAGTCTGACCCATTTGGAAGTTGAATTGAAGAAATAGAAAAAATTAAACAAACAAAACAGTGAAAGTTTCGTCAAAATTGGATGAAAAAATTCAAAAGTTATGAAATATAGATTATACAAAATCACAAATATTTTTTTTGCGAAAAAGTTATGTTATATATTTTATAACCTTTGCAATTTTGCAACCTTACAGCATTTAATCCATATTATATTTAATTGTGAGAACGGCAGCCTTGCCAACATAACAGGATATATTTACGTCTTGATGTTTATTTTAGTGTAAGAACTGCAACCTGTACAACCTATCTCCGAGTGAGCTGGTCAAGAGGAAAGAGGAGAGCTGTGAGATGGGAGGCTACTTCATCGCTAACGGCATCGAGAAGGTCATCAGAATGCTCGTCATGCCTAGAAGAAACTTTGTAAGTGACTTCTTGCCAGTTTCTTAAAGTGGTTTTCACAGCTCAAATGTCAACTTTACTTTATGTTTATTTATTTTTCTGCATTTTAATTAACTTACAATGTGAACTAATAAATGTATTAACACCCACTCCCCTCCTCCCCCAAAAAGAAAATACAACAGCCTAAAACACAGGTTTTAAATAGTCAGGGATTTGACAATGGCACACATACCCAGAAGATTCCCAGACTCTTCTTGTAGCAGCACTTACTCTTTGCTCACTCTATTGTTTATATTGCAAAACATGGAACTTTATCTTCTTCTGTTTCTCCAAAGTGTAATAATTCTAGTACCGGTATGTAGTCCACTGTACCAATATACATTTTGTTCTGTGTCATATGTTGTTTGGAAAATGAATGTGCATTTTTTATTGGAATGTGTACTTTTAAAAATGCAGCCCATGGCCATAAATCGTTCAAAGTGGAAAACCAGAGGGAAAGGCTTCACAGAGTTTGGTGTCCAGATGAGATGTGTCCGCAATGACCAGTCAATAGTCGTAAGTACAAGATCACAGATTTCAAGTAGTTTGTTGGTATACCCCAAGATAACTGTTCAATCAACGCAAATTTTCCATGAAACAGAAAAACAACAAATGAAGATTATACGTTTTGTTTAACCTGTGGCATAGTACTTAATATTACCATATCAATTTATGCAAATAAGATGCCTATGTTTACATATTTTCTGGGATTGCATCTCTTTCTCTCCCTCTGTCTCTCTCTGTCTGTATGTCTCTCTCTCTCTCTCTCTCTCTCTCTCTCTCTCAGCCTCTGTCTGTCTGTCTGTCTCTGTCTGTCTCTCTGTCTCTCCCTCCCTCTCTCTGTCTCCATCTCTTTCCATCTCTTTCCATCTCTTTCTTTTTCTCTGTCTCTTTCTCACTTACTGTCCATTTTTTGTCTTTCATCAGACAATTTCCATAGGTGTTTGCCATCATCTTGCAAACACTTGATAATACTTTTGTATGACTTTATATTTTTGTATACAATGTATTTCTTATTTCTCTTTCAGACAATCACCCTACATTACCTTACCACGGGCAGCATTGTAGTGAGCTTTGCATACAACAAAGAGATCTTCTTCCTTCCATTACTCCTAGTTCTCAGGGTAAGAATGGCGATGATGGTGGTGGTTATGAATGATGATGATGGATGATGGTGGTTGTGTGATGCTGGTAGTAGTGGTGGTGATGATGATGAAAGTGGTGGTGGGGGTAGTGGTGGTGATGATGATGATTTTGGTAGTGGGGGTTGTAGTGGTGGTGATGAATGGTTGCGGTGGGCATAATGATGGATGGTGGAGGTTGTGTTGATGGTTATGATGATGATAGTGGTGGTGGTATGAATGGTGATGGTGGTGCGGTGGGCGCAATGATGGATGTGGTGGTTGTGTTGATGGTTATGAAGATGATTGATGATGGTGACGGTTGTGGTGGGCATAATGATGGATGTGGTGGTTGTGTTCATGGTTATGATGATGATTGTGGTGGTAGTGGTGGTGATGACGATGATGTTGGTAGTGGGGGTTGTAGTGGTGGTGATGAATGGTTGCGGTGGGCGTAATGATGGATGGTGGTGGTTGTTTGATGGTTATGATTATGATAGTGGTAGTGGTGGTGATGGTTGTGATGAATGTTGGATGTGGTAGAGGAGGTTATGGAGGTCGTGGTGGCGATGGTGGTGGTGCTGCTGGTGGTTGTATTGATGGTTATGATGATGATGATGGTGTGGTATGTGTTGGTTTTGGCAATGATGTTTATGGTGATAATGATAATGATGCAGCTGCTAATGATGATGATGATGGTAATGATTATGGTGATGATTATCTCTCAAAATGCTGGTATCTGGGTGCTCTCTCTCTCTCTCTCTCTCACAGCCTGAGGGTGCAGAGTCCATCTGCAAATTTTTATGCCTCCGCCACCGAAGGTGGTGCCGGAGGCATCATGTTTTCGGGTTGTCCGTCCGTACGTCCGTCCCGTTTGACCGTTATCACAATATCTCAAGAACCATTTAAGATTTAAACTTAAGACTCGGGAATAGTATTTATCACCATAGGAAGACGATCTGATTAGATTTTGGAGTACGTAGGTCAAAGGTCACAGGTCACAGAGGTCAACTTATGAAATTCCTTGTATTGAGTTTGTTAGCGCGATATCTCAAGAACCATTTGAGATTTAAACTTCAAACTTAAGGATAGTATGTATCACCATAGGAAGACGATCTGATTAGATTTTGGAGCACGTATGTCAAAGGTCAAGGGTCACAGAGGTCAACTTATGAAATTCCATACATTGAGATTGTTATCATGATATCTCAAGAACCACTGGAGATTTAAACTTCAAACTTAGTGATAGTGTGTATCACTATAGGAAAACAATCTGATTAGATTTTGGAGCACGTATGTCAAAGGTCAAGGGTCACAGAGGTCAACTTATGAAATTCCATACATTGAGATTGTTATCATGATATCTCAAGAACCACTGGAGATTTAAACTTCAAACTTAGTGATAGTGTGTATCACTATAGGAAAACAATCTGATTAGATTTTGGAGCACCTAGGTCAAAGGTCAAGGGTCACAGAGGTCAACTTATGAAATTCCATACATTGAGATTGTTATCATGATATCTCAAGAACCACTGGAGATGTAAAAACTTCAAACTTAATGATAGTGTGTATCACCATAGGAAGACAATCTGATTAGATTTTGGAGCACGTAGGTCAAAGGTCAAAGGCCACAGCGCACATTATGAATGCAAAAACAGCTTGTGATCGCGTTATCTCAAGAACCGATTGATGGATTCATGCCAAAATTAGGTCATGTTTGTTACTTGCAGAGCCAATGAACTGAGTAGATTCTTGGTTCATAAGGTCAAAGGTCAAAGGTCATGGGCCCATTATGTATGCAAAAATAGCTTGTGAACGCATTCTCATTAGAACTGACAGATGGATTACTATTTAACTCAGAACATCTTGCAGAGCCAATGAACTGAGTAGATTTTATGGTCATGAGGTCAAAGATCAAAGGGTCATATATGTATATGAGAAATTGCTTGTAATCACAATATTCTGAGAACCTGTCAATGGATTACCATTGAACGTGAATTCAATTTTTTTTTTCTGTTTTGGTTTGTAAAATTGCTCTATAACGGAGGCATCATTTTCGACTGCGCGCAGTCGAATTCCATCTAGTTCAATAATTCTTGCAGTTTTGAGGTCTAGAAAGTTTTTTCCTTGTCTTTTCTGTCTTCTTTAGGCCCTTGTAGATACCTCTGACCAGCATGTTTATGATGAGCTTGTCAAAGGAAAAGAAAAAGACACTTTCTTAATAGGGTAAGTTGATCAAGTATAATTTCTTTTTTGTATTATTCAAGATAATGCTGCCTGTAAAGACTGCTCAAGGGAAAAAGGAAAATGGTCTTACTTTAAAGTTGTGTGATGATTTTTGTGGATTGCTGTACCTGACATGTTTATGCTTGTTAGTAACCAGGGGGTCGATGGCTTAAAGTCCACTATGAGGGACATGGTAATGAGGATTATAGCCTTACCGAAGGGCACAAGTGAATCCCTGTGCAGAATCCCTCTTGAATCAGCAGGTGCTCTAGAACATATGGTGTCGGAGATTGTTCTGTACTTCATGATCCTAAGAGTCAGTTTATCCCAAATTATATAACCCCATCCTTCATCTTCAATGTCCAGTTGTGTCTAAATGTCCATTCATTCAACAGGGGCTCTAGATCATACCGTTGGGTACCCACAAGAAGTCGGTGTGTTGTCGATGGTAATAACCGTCTCCTTGTGGGTAACCAACATTATGGTCTAAAGATTCTGATGAAACCGCACATAGAAGATAAAGGATGGGGTTATACAATTTGGAATATACTGACTCTTAGGGTCATATAATAAAGAGCAGCAATCTCCTGTATGTACAACCATATGATGTAAAAACAAAATAACAATACAATTTAGGAAATTGTTTTATTTTTATTGTCTTTGAGAGTCATCTCATCTAAATAGTTCAACCTCATCTTTTATCTTTTATCTTCCCTTCACAGTTGCGTTACCGGAATGTTGCGTCAAACACAGACCCAGAATCTGTCCAGTCAGGAGCAAGCCCTGGAACATCTAGGAGAGCGATTTCGCATCAAGCTCTCCGTTCCCCCTTGGCACACCAACGTCCAGACCGCCAAGTTCCTCCTACAGCAGTGCATCTGCGTTCATCTCGATTCCAACCAGGACAAATTCAACACACTCGCGTAAGTTGCTCTAGTCCAGGGGGGTGTTTCACAAAACTTGTCGTCAGTGACAAATGACAGTTTTTGTTATAAGCTACTGAAATCCTTGCTTCTGATTGGTTATCAGCAGATTTGTCACTGATTTTTGACATTTGTCATTGATAAAAGGCTTTGTGAAACGGGTCCCAGGATGGTGCCATACAAAGTATGCCTCAGGTATTTACGAACAAAATTGTGTATTTCAGAATGTTTTACATGTAGTCTGTTTTTAAAAAATTGTTTAAAGCCGCTCATATAAATGTCTCATGATATTTTTACTGGTCAGAGTGACACCATTACAGCTATCACCCCAATGAAACTGAACGTTGTCCCTAGACAAAGTAGTGAGGCATAGGATAGTCAAGATATCACCCAGGACTTATATATGTAGTTTTATAGATGACACAATAACTTAAAGTCAAATTTATTTTATATCCTTCATCCTGCATGCCAATAAGTTATATTTTTATAAGATTATCTCTGTCAAATGTAACTATTTGTTGGGATATGGTTTAATCAAAGAGTGCAAGAAATGTGTGTGTCTTATGCCTCAGTCACACCTCTGCGTATTTGGCTTGCGTGTTGCTGCGCATTTATGGCAAGCCGTTTTAACATTTATTCCTATTTCTTGATATCAAGAAATTAATTCGTGATATCAAGAAATGATTTTCTGTTGTGAGGCAATGGTAATTCTTGATAACAAGAATTTGATTTCTTGATATCGTAAATTTATTTCTTGATTTCATGAATTCAATTCTTTATATCAAGAAAAAGGAAAATAAGATAGATGCACACAGGCTTGCTTCATGCTGATAGATTAGTACAACAATCATAATTTTGTTTTCCTTCCAATTCTTTACTGATAAAAAAACAACAGCAAACATCACCAGAATCACATAAAAATATATGCAAAACAGCGATATCATGTTAATTTGTATGCAATGTTAGTTTATGATTTTATAAACTTCTATATCACCTGGAGAGCGTCTTACAAAGATCCCAAGTTGAACTTATCTCTAAGTTTGATTTAACAATTATGGAGAGCCTTTGGCATCATTGAAAATATTTTTTACAAGTTATTTTAAAAGGCAAGAACTGTTGCTTCAAATCATTCATATTTTCATATCATCATGTGAGATTTCATGTTCTTAATGTGGAATTTATGAAAAGTCTAAATTACTTAATTTTTTCCTTTTGAATATGTTTCATTATAAGGCTACAAATGGCTCTCCATAATATTTATGTCCAACTTTGAGATAAGTTCGGCTTGGGATCTTTGTGAAACACCCCCTGATTGTTGCCATTGTCTCCCACTGTAGATTTATGGCCAGGAAGCTGTTTGCCTTCAACCAGGGTGAGTGTGCAGCGGAGAATGCAGACAGTCCCATGAACCAGGAAGTACTTCTAGCAGGTCATCTGTACCTCATGGTGCTCAAGGTACTGTATACACGATTCAATGTAATTGATGATTTGATTTGATTTGATTTGATATGATTCATTTCTGTTTGATTTTCTTTTTCTTTTTCAGTTTTACAAATATATAACAAACAAAACATTACAAATTTTACACATGATGAAGAATGTTTTTGTTTGTTTGTTTTTTCTCTGTTTGTTTGTTGTTGTTTATTCTTCAATATACAGTCAAACCTGCTTTAGTGACCACTTGTGTAGAAAGACCACCTGTCTACACAGATCACATTTTTTGTTTTCCTTAAAAATGGTTTCACATTGAAACATGAACTTAAAGGAACCTGTACATAAAGACCACCTGCCTATAAAGACCACTGTTATTGTCTCCCTTGAATTGTCTTTATAGACAGGTTTCACTGTACGTATATTTTTGTGTGTTTTAACCTGTTGATAACGTTTGCTTTATGGAAATTCAAAGAAAAATCAAATCTTATGCTGATAAGTTTAAATCATGTAATGGGTTTCTACTGAATTATAATAATATAGATAGGAGTAATTGTTTTATAGCCTCGAGGGGATGCAACATCCCGAGAGCCATTTTTGAGGGAAGAGGTTTAATTGCTATATCTCTTTTTCTGCCTTTGTAGGAGAAACTTGAAGGCTGGTTGGTGAATCTACGCTATGCCATTGAAAAACAAGCCAAGAAGTCAAGGAGATTCGTGTTGAATGACGGTGAGATATGAATCAATTTTATCGTCGTGATGTAACACTTTTTGTTGGATTTTGCTTTCAGTGGAAAAGGAATTGTTTGCTGATGCGTCATCATCATCATCATTGATTTAAGTCGGCATTTTCCCTATTATGAGGGGTTAATGACTTTCGCTTGTGTATTTACACATCCTCCCTCCACTTCTTGCATCTTATTCATATGTACAATTAAAAAAAAAAAATATTTGCTCTTTATTTAAATGCATGGTTCATGCTTATTACTCATATTGCTCTTTAAAGGTACTATGTCCCTTTTGCAGCCAACCTCAAATGCTGTAGAACTTTGCAGGAATTATGAATATGTCATGTATGTCCTATCTATGAAATTTAAACGTTAGCAGTGTCCTCATATTCAAATTATGCAAGGAAACCTGTTTACTTGCTAGAATTCACTGTCAGACACTTGAGTGACTGACTGGCTTTTTTTCTTCTTTGGTAATAACATACATGAAAAGAGTTGTAAACGGTACATGAGCATTTGTCTACATCAATAACCCACTTCTTGTGATGGCCAAGATTAAACTGATTGAATCTTTGCGCAGCATAAAACGTATGACCATTCGGTACAATTGTCTGGAAATCAAGACAATTACTTTTGGGCTCTATATAGCCCTAAAGTCGAATTGACAACTAATAGTCGTTATTTTCCCACTTGAAGACATTTTCAAGCCCCACCTTTTTTAGGGAAGTTCTAAATTAGTATTATCTTTCAAATGCAGTTGGAATTTAACATTTTCATTTTTTGGGCCTGCAAATGGGACATAGTACCTGTAAATGCACGGTTCATGCTTATTACTCATATTGCTCTTTAAGATGGTATACCTTAATGTGAGGCATAATAAAGGGGGGAATCGTCCCTTATAAATGAAACACAAACACAAAATATCTGAAATTTTAAAGTAATTTCCATAAATTTGTTCAACACTGAAAATTATATATGCAGTTATACTCTTGAGTGCACAGAAATTGATTTTGCCACGGATATAAATGTCCAAAGATGTCTGATTTCTTACTATCTCGTCATTGTTGCAGTATCTCTGAACACGGCTGCGTCCACAGGGCCTGGTGATCTGACAAGAAAGATGGAGTACCTCATAGCAACAGGAAACCTTGCTTCTAAGACAGGTCTTGGGCTGATGCAGGTACGGGAGGGCTCTTTTTTATTGATTTGTGTGTATGCTTTGGACATTAACCCATTAGCAACTAGAGATTGTGTAAAAATGGCCTAATACTCACTGGAAGATGTCGCAAAATTGCTCTCATTTTGACATTGTTCTGAACAATATGAAACATGCGCTATTTTTCTATGCAGAATCCTACTGTAGACATCGTAAGGATTACGCACGTATAACTTTATCACGGTAGACCTAGTACGTATATTAGGGACTTTAGATTTGTGCAACGGAGAACATGGACTGCCCTTTTAAGGCAATGTGACGTCACTGCCAGTGCCTTAAAAGAACGTCACATTGCCTTAAAAGAGCAGACACGTTCTTCGTTGTGCAAAAGTCCCTACTATAGCGTGAAAACGGACGGAATGGGAGTTTTCGGTGATGGGGCTCTTGCAAAATAAGAAAAAAAGGGGCACTTATTGGATAAAGAGTAATTATTTTGGATTTGGATTTACCAAATATACGCGTAAGTAAATATTCAAATCATTTCTGATTTTGTGCATTCCCATATAATATCAGCATTACACAAATATTCCCTGACTTGTTTAAATTATCCATAAATCATCAGTAAAGAACAGAAATTATGCTCGTTTGTTTTTCTTTTTGGTGCAAATCTACCAATTAAATTTGTTGTTGGAGTAGGCATATTTATACATGAAAGTACTGTATTGCAGCAAAAGAGTAAATCATCATCATCATCATCATCACTATCATGTCTGTTGAATAATATCATTCATTGTCTCAATGCTCTCTAATGTGTCTTTCAGACATCTGGTATGACGGTAGTTGCAGATAAACTCAACTTCATGAGGTTCCTGTCTCATTTCCGCTGCATCCATCGTGGATCGTTCTTCGCCGAAATGAGGACCACTTCTGTCAGGAAACTGCTCCCTGAGGCTTGGGGTAAGATGATGTCAATGATCTCCACCTCTCCTCCTTGACCCTTCTCCCTATGTGTCTGTCTGTCTGTCTGTCTCTCTGTCTGTCTGTCTCTCTCTCTTTATCTCTCCCTGTACAGGTCTCTTTTCATAATTCTACTTTAGCTATCATTGTCATTTTGTTAGGTTTGGTTTAAATCTATATTTTGTTTAAGAAAGATTTTAATTGATTTGAATAAGACCAGACTAAACTTGGTACCAAGTTTCCTGTCTCCCTTTCGTTTGTTTCATAGTGCACCTCTTCCACTTTTGTTTGATAAAAAAATATAGAATAATGTGAGGAAATTGGTTAATGAAGAGAATCATTTATAAAGTCCAAGTTTAATTGGTTTTCAGTCTCTGTCTTGCATGGACATATGAATTTATGCTGAATGTTTGTGTTGAAAATGATCCCATAGTATTTGTTCCTGCAGGGAAATTAAAAGTTATGAAGTAATCACAGTAGTACCCTAACCTTATTGTTATCAATCTGGATGAGAAACTTGGATTAACACGTTAATGGCCTTATCTAAAAGCAATGAGTAGAATAGACATAAAATAGGTACTTAGAGCTGATGAATATATGTTTCATGAATTGGGATTTAAGGCTTTTTTTCTACATTTAAACTGTTTCTGAATGTTTTGCAATTGTTAAAATGTATTGAATATTTTACCTTTATTATCAGGTTTTCTATGTCCTGTCCACACTCCTGATGGTGCCCCGTGCGGCTTGATGAATCATCTAACAGCATTATGTCAGGTAACGGTTCTTGCACAGCCCTACAATCAGTTTCAAATTAAATTTATTATATACTAATATGTTTCCTTTGTAAGAATGAGTTATTTTTTAATAATCTTGGTTAATATAAAGGCCCGGTCACACAGGGAGGACGCATGGGGAACGCACGGCCAGCGCATTGGAAATTTGCAATTTGGGCCAGTGCGTTGTCGTTCGCTAGGCGTGCGTCATCATTCGTTACTCGTTCGTCGAGCGCGCTGGACCAGCGCTATGCGGTCGTCGTCATTCGCTGTGTGCGTCGGGTTTTTTTGAGCATGCTCAAAAATGTGCGCGGAGCTCGACGCATGAATGTACACGCCAAAGGCACGCCAGACATGCGTGGAGCGCGCTAGACCAGCGCCAGACATACGCGGAGCACACGCCCTGTATACGCACAGCGCGCTAGCTACACGCTGTGCATTTTTTGTCAGCTCGCTAGCTTTTCCAAAATCATGACAAAAGTTAGGCACACGGCCTTTTCCGATTTCCAATGTGCTAGAACGCGGTGCATGCGTGGACCATTCGTCCAGCGCGCTAGCAACACGCTGTGCATTCGTCGAAGTTGTTATCATGTGCGCTCTGTGTGCGCCCTGTATGCGCCCTGTATGCGCCCTGTATGCGTCCAACGCGCTATGCATTAATGGTGTCAGCTCGCTGTTGCTTCGACAAAAGTTGGGCGCACGACAACGCACTGGCCAAAATTGCAAATTTCCCATGCACTGGCCGTGCGTTCCCCATGCGTCCTCCCTGTGTGACCGGGCCTTAAGTTAAGATTAATCAGCAGTAGAGTGATAGATGGTGCTGAAAATTTGGCGTGATGACAGCTGCCTTGAGAAAATAGGAAATAAGCTGAACAATTTTGTTATGTTTTTTCATTTTTTATTTAATTACTGTCATGAATACATAATGAGATATCAATGCAATAAATAATGAACACAGCACCCCGGTTGAAAAACGCTGCACTAGCCTTGCCCGATAGCAGATCAAAAGGTACGGGTTCAAGTCCTGCCGCACCACTAATGGCCTTTGGGTAACTGATATGCTTGAGGGCTTCTTACTTTGGCAGCTTAGCGACAACCAAGGTATAATGTGTAAAGCGCCATGAGGGTCAGAGCCTGGCGGATACCAGCGCTATATAAATATCCATAATATTTTGCATTATTATCATCTTTTCATTACAGGTGGTGAACACCCAACCGCTCACCCTCCCTCTCGTCAAGACCCTCTATGCCCTGGGCATGATCCCCCTCGACGCACCCCTGCCTTGCCCCGTGTCTGGCTGCTATGAGGTGGTCCTGGATGGCAGGGTCCTGGGCTACGTGCCTCAGGACATCGCCACACAGCTTACGTCCAGGCTCAAGATTCTGAAGGTCAAAGGTCAAAGCGGGGTGAGTACTCATTTTCATTTTGTGTTTTTGTGTGTACAAGGAAGGGTTGGTGGTGTTCAGGTGATGATCATCTGTCATTCAAACCTCACTCAATGTTCAATGTTGTTCATATTTGTAATTTACTATAAATTTATTTTATGCTGTAGTCTGTGGGACATCCCAGAAAACCAACAGCTCACAAGGTCAAAGGTTGATCTGTCAACTGTCAGTCTTATGAACCCTCTGATAATTCTTCAAAAGAGTCCAACATTATATGTCTCATGGGCCGTCATTCTCATGAAACGTTAGTCTCGAGGGCTGCCAGTCCTGTCGAGTGTCTATCGCCTGACCTGTCAGTTTTAAGGGTCATTGGTCACGTGAGCTTCGATCAGCCCATTGTCACTGTTTGTATGATTGGAAGTCAAATGAATTGGGATTTCAAACATTCCATAAAGTGTACTTGTATTTTTTTTGCATTTCAAAAGCCATAACCAATCTAAATGAAATAGGGAAACACATCTTCAACCTGAGGAAGATAAAACATGTTCCTGTCAGAAATATTTTTTAACTATTATTTAAAATGAAAATTAATATTCTTAGCCTTAGCTATGCTCATTTTTATGCCACAAATCCAATCCTAGATTAGCTGCGAATCAAGGACAGTCATACACTCAGATTCGACGAATGTAAAACCTTCACAACAGCAAGAAATGGCCTTTTACCTCCTGCATGTGTTGTAAATGCTTATAAATCCTATTATGTTTCAAGGGGCTTTGCTTGCAAATTGTGCAGTATGAAATTAATCTATGTGAATATCAACCATCTTTTCTTGTTTTCATAGGTCACCCCAACGACGGAGATCGTGCTGGTACCTGTAACAGGCAAGGGAGGTCAGTATCCCGGCCTCTACATCTTCACGACGCCCACCAGGCTCTACCGACCCGTCAGGAATCTTGCATTGCAGGAGACGGAGTACATCGGCACGTTTGAACAAGTCTACATGGACATCGCAGTGACCCCATCAGAGATTCATGAAAAGGTATGCAGGACTTTGATCGTTAGGGGGTCATAACTGGTGATAGCTATAAGTGAATTCATATTTAGAAGAAAACAGTTTACATTGATTCATGATTAAAAAAGAAAAATAGTCATTCTTTTTCATTGGTTGTGTGGAAGGGGGCCATAATGCCATATTCTAGTACACAGTTTTTATTTTGTCAGCGAATTATGAAATCTAACTCAAACTATTTCAAGCGCAATCACTCATATTTTCATCAATTTTGTTTCATTTCAATGGCAGACTACACATTTAGAATTTTAATAAAAGCAATATACTGCGTGTTTCAGTTAGTCTAACTCTATTATCTGACTTCAGGCTTTGGTTTATATTCATCACCAAGTAAAATTTGAAGTCTAAAACAAAATAAGTGCAAGTCATTCATTTTTCATCCATTTTGTTATATTTGAATGACAGACTACCTATGATTTAAGAGTACACTGCATGTTTCAGCTAGTCTCTATCCGTTCTCTGACTTCAACTGATACATAAGTACAATAATAATCATAATTTTCATCCAATTTCTTTGATTTGATGAATCATGACAAACTACACAGTTAGAAGTGAATGAGAGCAACATACTGAGTGTTTCAGCTATATTAACTCCATTATCTGATTTCAACTAATAAGTTCAATAATAATCATAAGTTGTATCAAATTTCTTTGATTTGAACGACAGACTACTCATTTAGAATTGAATGAGAGCAGCATACTGAGTGTTTCAGCTAGTCTGACTCCATTCTCTGATTTCAACCAGAGTCCAAGGAACATGTATCAGTGCCAGGTAAGATGGGTTGTAGAAAACTTCTTTATATTCATTACGGGTCAACTCCATTGCTGATAGTTGCTCATGGGCTTTCTTTTCTTAAAGTGACTCAGTAACATTACCTCAGATTCCTAAACAAAATCCTGGATTTAGCTCATGCTGCAATCAGAATTATAAACCTTTAGGTCAGTCAGGAATCCCATGACTTTTACAAGCCAATCGTTTATCTGAGTATCAAGATATTTATGATTGGAAATCAAAATGTCATTTTTCGGTATCCTAACGGTTTTATAATACTACAGTCTAGTGGGGAAATGAGTATAGTAAAACCGGTCTCTCAAAGATTTTTCCTTTTTACCTTCATGATAATTTTGAAGCAAAAGTTTGTATTTGGGCATCAATATTACACCATATTACAGACACTGATATCATATAGGGCCATGCATCTCAGATTTCACATTGTTAAACGATGCCTTTAAAGGACAATCCAACCATTTTTAATAAGTTCTTGTTTGTGAAAGCAGAAAAATAGAGATAAAAAGAATGGCGGAAGTTTGAAATAAATCTGACCAATAATAAGAAGAATATGAATGCTTGCATAAAGGGATTACTCAGTTTATGTGAGAGGAGATATTTTGAATTGTACATGGAGGGGGGGGGAGGGCTATTTAAGCTCCATCGATTGAACTCTGAGGATGCACATGTGTGCATGTCGCAACTACCCCTGTCAATATGCTATGGTCTCTACGAAAAGTGATATAGATGAATCACATGTACATTGTATGCCCTCTTGTCTCACACACAGATGGGCAAACAAACGATGGGTTTCCCCTCCCACACGCTACCTTTCCGCATCGACCACAAGATGTACAAGCTGCAGACGCCCCAGACTCCGATGGTTAGACCGCACGCTTACGACAAGTATGACTTTGATGACTACCCCCTTGGAACCAATGCTGTGGTGGCTGTCATCTCGTATACAGTAAGTGACAATTTTTATGAAGTTCAAAGGTCAAAGGTCAATCGTTGTCTAATCATGGTAGCACCCATTTGTATTGAGTGATCATGGAAGTGGGTGCCCAAATGTTAATGAACTTTTTTTTAAGACAAGGTCTTCTGATTCCTTTATGAATTGTCATTTCAACAGTAATTACACCTACCGTACATTGTTACAGTCTAGCTGATAATCTTTGTATAACTTTAAATACAGCAGCAGTGTATGCAAAGCACTTGCACACATTTTAATCTGGTGACTACTGAATTCCGCCATTCCCGTGGTCTTTAAAGGGACCACCCGATTCTCATTGGCAATGGTTTATAGTATACAAATAGTGAATGGCCATGAGTGCAATGGTACAAGATTTTGCACGAGGTGAAAGATAAGAGATGCTATATTCAAAGAGGCGCAGCCGAGTTGAATGGAGCGTCTCATCTTTCACCGAATGCAAAATCTTGTTCCATTGCACGAATAAAGACCATTCACTATTTGTTTTATACAACACCTCGGACGTTAACAGGCTTAAAACAGTTTTCCTAGGCATAAATGTCAGCGATTTTTTGTTTGTTTTCAATTGATGAAATTGCTGATAGTGAGCTCGCACTATTAAGCAGGCAGCAAACCACGCGCATACCATGCGCCGCGCGTACCAACCTTTTATGTTTAATGTGGCGCGGAGTGCAATTTTGTTTGATCCTTTCACACCATTGCACTCTGACATCACTTAGCTCACCATATACTTTGTACATCGTTAGTGACGTCAGAGTGCAATGGTGCGAAAGGATCAAACAGAATTGCACGACTGGAGAATGATGCCGTCCAACAGTACTTTTAGCGCATGTCATGTGATCAATAATTGACCTATGATGTTGCAAGAATCTTTTTATAGTAGGCGTTGTATAATAAAGATTATTTGATTGTAAGATTAGAAGGTTAGACTTGAAATTATACATCTTGATTTTATGTTGTGTTATGAAATTTCATTTGCTATAGGGGTATGATATGGAAGATGCTATGATCATCAACAAGTCTTCATTAGAGAGAGGGTTTGGTCATGCCAGTATCTATAAAACAGAAGAGATTAACCTGAGAACCAAGCTAGGAGAATCAAAGCATGGACGAGTGGCAGCTGTCTTTGGTAAGCAAAGCAATGATGATAGTGATGTGGTGGTGATTCCAGTGGTGGTGGTGGTGGCAGTGATGGTGATGATAATGATGATTGTGAAGATAAGGGTGGTGATGATGATGATGATGATGATAGTAGTGTTGGGGATAATGATGGTGATGATGATGATGATGATTATGATGATGATTGTGATCATAATGATGGCAGCGTTGGGAATAATGATGGTGATGATGATGATGGTGGTGATGATGATGATAATGATGATAAGGATTGTGATGTTGATTGTGATGATGATGATGATGATGATGATAAAGAAGTTGTTGTGTTTAGCTAGCCTGGCAATGATGATTGTGATGGTATTGTTAGTGTTGGTGATGATGGTGTTGATGATGGTGATGATGGTTTTGATGATTGTTAAGTTGTTGATTGTGATGATGATGTTGATGATGATGATGATGATGATGATGTTGATTATGATAATGATAATGGAAGTGTTGAGGATAATGATGGTGATGGTGATGATGGTGATGATGATGGTGATGATGATGGTGATGATGGTTTTGATGATTGTTAAGTTGTTGATTTAGATGTTGATTGTGATGATGATGATGATGATGATGATGTTGATAATGATGATGATGGTTGGGGACATGGTAATATTTTGAATGTTGGTCATGATGATAGTTCTGATGTTGGTAAAGTGTCAATGATGATGCTGATGATGGTTTCTTGGATATTTCTCTACTTCCTATATCCTTCTCTTATACTTACTAGGTTGTGATGTAACAGACCCCAGACTCAAAGGAAGTATAGACAAAGATGGCTTCCCATATATAGGCACAGTACTCCATGAAGGTGACCCATACTATGCGTAAGTCAACTAACCATTGCCAAATGTGGGGGGTGGGTTACAAAGACTAAGATCAACTTTAAGTTGGACTTAACTATGGCAGGTAATTTATGCCACTGTTTTCTCTCACCATTTACTGGCATTGGTCTCTCAAGGGACTTATAAATCAAGGTCACAAATCTACAGAATTTACAATTTTTGATAGTTCATTATTTAAGGACAAATATTATCTAAAGATCATAATGCTGAGAGCAACCAGTGGCATGAATAGCCTGCCATAATTAAGTCCAACTTAAAGTTGATCTTAGTCTTTGTGAAACACCCCGTGGTCTGTATATAAACACACATGACTACATGTTGCTTTGCTTGCTAGGTGCCTTGTCTGTTCCAGACATTAGCAATCAATGATTTCCATCTATTCCTATCTATGGTTCTTTGTAATGTGACGTCACTTCTGTTACCAGTCAGCCCAATGAACTTATCTATATATGCTGTCTCCATCTTCTTCTGTTTCCCACAATTTTTTCTATTAGTATAATGTGTTCTGTGCCTAATATGTCCAACAAACAGAAGCTATCTTTTCCTTCTGTTTGTGTTAAGGAAGAATCTATTGACACATAGGCTTTATTGAGAAAGTGTCGATAGATCCCTCCTTAAGATCATAAGAATAAAATAATGTAACTGTCTCTATAGCCCTCAATACTTGAACAATCAGCAGAAAGGTTTAAAGTTAGTTGGCTTTTCTCAATAACTAGTGAGCATTCAAAAATCTTAAGTACATATTAATGTTACAATTTAGCTCTGTCTGCTCTATCATTTTGCAACCCAAAAATATTAAATGAAATTTAAGAAAGAGACATGTTCTTGCTAGCTGACAAGATTAACAAATATTGGATTAAGATGACAAGACATGTGTTTTTATTATTTTATTATTTATTTTATGTGCATGATAACTATTTTGATTAGATTTCAAAATTGAATTATTATGTAGAAAATGACCTCCATTTGAAGGATACTCTCCCATTGGCTTTCTCCTCTGTTTCGACTCTGGTTAGCCGTCAACCAGTGTATCATTATTACCTGTATCGTGAATTGCAGATACTATCTATCTATCTAAGTATCTTCTCCCGGTTTGGAGGTTGATTGCAACATCTCTCCATTTCACTCTACAGTATCTTCTGCCATTCTGGTGCACTCTTGCAGTTTTAGTCCACTCCAGTTCTTGACATTCTCTTCCCAGTTGATTCTGGGTCTCCCTCTCGGTCTACTTCCTTCCACTCTTCCTTCCAATACATCCTTTAAGAGGCTTTGGTGCCTTTGAATATGACCAAAGTATTTGATTTTTCTCTCCTTAACTAATCCTACTACCTAGTGCAATTTGTTTACGTCCTGCCATGTGCAATATCTCTGTGTAGGTTTTCATTCGTTTCCAGGATATTTTCATCATTCTTATGTAAATCCACATTTCAAATGCAGGTACACTAGGCTTGATTCAGGTCAGACGAAGATCGAGAAGTACAAAGGGTCAGAGGTCGCGGTGGTAGATAATGTCAAGGTCACAGGGAATGACCTCGGTAACCAGGTCTGCCAGAGAGCTTTCATACAACTTAGAATACAGGTATGTGTGTTTGTGTAATTGGATTTTTACAGACGTGTATCAATCAGATATGATCGTTTACGTCTGGGGACCGACCTTTAACGTCACCATCTGAAAGACGTGACTCAGTTTCAAATCGGGGTGGACTGAGTCAGTTTGTAGGTAAAGACAAAGAGCTGACCAAGTGAACGTGCTGCAAGACCAACTCAAATCTACCTATATGGTGGGACTAATGGTGGGATATGGGTCATTCCGTGGGGTTGGGGCAATTTTTGTGACAGACCAGAAGTGAGAAAGAAACCATCTCCTATCAAACATAACAATGTTTGCACAAATTGAGTTAAGCATATCCAACTATATTTAGAAGTACTCTAGCTTCATAGTGAATCAATATTATAGACCCAAAGTTAAAAAATGTAATGTCCATGTAAAGCTGGTGAAAAAGAAAGGCATATTAAGCAAGGATTTTGAAACGAAGCAACTGAAACAGGAATGATTCTGGTAGTGCACATATTCATTGCACACAAATCTTCAACAGATGATCTCGTTTTCGATAGTCGTAGAAGTTCTCATACCAACATTAAATGGACATCGCTATATATATTAAGAATTTAATAGACCAGTTTAGAGGTGGCAAACGTACAAGTGACCTCCAAATATCCACATATATTTTTAAAAGTCCCACTTTGTGCATTTAGAATAATCCCAAATTGATTGAGGTGCATCATGAATTCCTCTTTTTTTCCTTTTTATTTAACCTCTTGAAAAGAATGCTCACAATTTTGAACAATAGAATGTTCTGTTGGTGCATAAATGAATAATGAATACATGACTTTCAATTAAAACATTTCCTAACCTCTATCTGCCCATGCACACATGACAACTTTCAGTTTTCAGAAATGTAGGAGTTAAAAGTATTTTGTTTCTTTTTCTTTCATCAGTATAAAGCCTGTGTTTAACACGACTAGTTCTACATGGAAACAGATTTTTATTTGCTAAAAGGAAATGGTTTGGCTGAATGTGAATAGTTTGAATTATATTTCAAAAGAGCCCATTTTTTAAAGTAATATTTTTCCATTTCACAGAGGAATCCCATCATTGGTGACAAGTTTTCTAGTCGTCACGGTCAGAAGGGTGTATGCAGCCAGCGATGGCCGACCGAAGATATGCCCTTCACGGAAAGCGGGATGACTCCGGACATCTTATTCAACCCTCATGGTTTCCCTTCCCGTATGACCATCGGTAAGCATGGCAAAACTTCAAACTCGTGTAGAGTTGTGGAGAAATACTTTCATCTTTAAAAAAAATGGCTGACTGAAGAGAGTGGGATGATCCCAACATCAACCTAACTCTCTGGGTTTCCCTTCCCGTCTAACCGTCTGTAAGAATGGCAAAACTTCAATTTATATTGAGTTGTAGGAAGCTTTTTCTGCATACTGGAAACAAAATTTCGGTATGAGCAATAATAAAGCCAGTACTAGCCAACCAAAGATATGGCCTTCAAGGAGACCTCCGGACATTATATTCAACCCTCATGGTTTCCTTTCCTGTATAATCATCGGTAAGAATCACAAAACTTCTAGAACATGTTGAGTAACGATGCGATGCCTGTATTCATACTGACCGTTTGGAATTAATCAGCAAAGCTTCTAAAAGGGGGCCTCCAAGCCTTCCACACCTTGACCCGAAAAAACTCTCCTCACTTAGAAAACTATTCTGCAATTAATCACTCACGTTTTGATATAGCTTGAGTTGTGGTGATAAGAATAACTCTGCAGAATTTCTGGAAGACACATCACCCTGCCTCACCCCTGCAGTTAGTGTTAATCTCTGCATTTCTTCATCATTTCTTTCTTCATTAAATCTCAGGTATGATGATAGAGAGTATGGCCGGTAAGTCGGCATCGCTCCACGGTCTGTGCCACGATGCCACGCCCTTCACTTTCTCAGAGGAACAACCCGCCGTGGACTACTTTGGCAAGCTGCTCACTGCAGGTAAAATAAAACAATTCCTTCAATTCTTCAATGGTCTTCAGAAATTATCCTGTTTTACTTTCCTGATTTTCATGGTGACTTGTAACTCTCTCTGGATTTTGTAACACACTTGTAACACTTTTGATTTATTTGGGGGGTAATTTTTTAGTATATTGATGATAATTCAATGTTATGGATCAGGACCCTGTTTCATAAAACTTGTTATCAATAACAAGTTACATCGTAAGCTACCAAAATCGTGGCATGTGATTGGCTGAGAGGAAATTTGTCATAGAAATTTAGCATTAGTTATTGGAAACAACTTTTTTGAAACAGGGCCCAGGTCATTAGGCAGGCAGTGACCTTCTACTGGGTGGTTGCTTTTTTAAATAAATTTACAAAAGAAAGAGATGCATGTTTACTGGTAGGAAAGACTTTCCATTTTCACTGCCAGAGTCACATTAGTTATTGGTGTGGGTACAGTTGATACAATGTATGTCAGTGTTCAGTTCTAAACTGTATGTATCTCCATCTTTCCTTTCTCTTTAGTAGTGCAGGCATAAGATTTTTTTACGAAAATTTACTTTACAAAATTGATTTACTATAATTTTCTTTTTTCTTCTTTTCTATAGGAGGATATAACTACTATGGCACAGAGAGGATGTACAGTGGAACCTCGGGAGTAGAGCTTGAAGCTGATATATTCATAGGAGTGGTGTACTATCAGAGGCTCAGGCATATGGTATCGGATAAATTCCAGGTAAGAAAATCCCTTTCTCTTCTCACTCCTGACAGCTGTTTTGTCTGTTCTTGTATATTATAATTATTCTTATCATTAAATATAATATGTATTTGGCATCAACTTTGCCTAGAAGACGGTAGCAAACTAGATCACTGTACATGAACATGTTACTCTCTGATCTCTCCCCCCGTTATAACTAATTGGGGTCTGCAGGGATACCAAAGCACTATGGTCCCCCCTTCTCTTTTCAAAAGAGTGCACTGACTCTCATCCACACAGGGCCTCCATCGAATGCCCCACCTGAGGGTTGGTGTTTTTTTTGCTGTCACCTACACTTACATTGTAGTCTGCATTTATGAAATCTGGGAATGGCATGTTAAAGGGATCTGGTAACTTCGACTTAGATCCTTTTAAGAAGTCCTTGATTTAGCTCATGCTGCAATTATAAACCTTTAGGTCAGTCAGGAACACCATGACTTTTATGAGCCGATCGCCTGTCTGATTATCAAGATATTTATGATTGAAAATCAAAATCAAAGTTTGCGTTTGCCAAACGGTTTTCATAACACTACAGTCTATTGGGTAAACCGAGGATGGTAAAACTGGTCACTCAAAGATTTTTACTTTTTTGAGGCACTTCTTGATCATTTTGAAGCGCAAATTTTGTAGGGCTTCAATATAACACCATATCATAGACACTGATGACACGTTGGGCCGTGCATCTCAGATTTAACATTGTTAAACGATACATTTAATGTTTACACACGATGAAGTCTTTCAGTCATCTACCCATGTTGGATTTAAACCTGGGATCTTTGATTTGACAAGCGGATGTTCTGCCATCTCACTGTCAACGTGTGTAGTGGTGGTTATCTTAAATGACTGCTAAGAAACCATAAATGCTTGTAAAGTAAGGACCGACAGCTTTAGGTCCTCTCTGAGAGACCTGGTAATGAGGATTAATGCCTTATCAAAGGGCACTAGGCATGGCCTTGGTTTCGAACCCGGGTTGCTGGATCACGAGACCACTGCTCTACCAACTGAGCTATCGTGCCTCCTCGACTCAGCATATAATATATGTCCGTTTGTATTTGTAGGTGCGATCAACGGGACCGGTGGACATCCTGACTCACCAGCCAGTGAAGGGAAGGAAGAGGGCCGGTGGTATCCGGTTCGGTGAGATGGAGAGGGACTCGCTTCTTGCCCATGGAACGTCTTTCCTCCTCCAGGATAGGCTGCTGAACTGCTCTGACAAAAGCTTGGTATGTTGGTGATGATGAGGAGGAGAATGATGATGATGATGATGATGATGTTAATAATGATGTTGATAATGATGATGATGTTGATAATGATGATGATGTTGATAATGATGATGATGGTGGTGATGATGATGATGGTGATGACGATGATTATGATGATGAAGATGATGAGCATAATGATGATGATGATGATGAGGTCGTATGTGGTGGTGGTGGTGGTGGTGATGGTATTAGAGGTTGCAGTGATGATGATGATGGCGATGATGATGGTGGTGGTGATGATGATGATGATGGTGATGATGATGATGGTAAAATAGAGGTTGCGCTGGTGATGATGATGATGATAATGATAGTGAAACTAGTGATCATGATATTGACGATGATGACTATGATCTTGTGATGGATGACATTATGCCGGCAATCATGGTAATAATAAATATATTTTTGAAGATGATGATGATGGCAATGAGAGTGACGATGGTAATGCTAGAGTATTCTTAGCATTCTATCTTGTAATGAATGAAGGCGACCAACTTATGCTCCAAACTCTCCCATACTTTTTACAGACAAGAATATGCACCAAGTGTGGGACTCTCCTGGGCATCCACCTAGAGAAGCTAAGTGACCGGTCATCGGACGGGAAGCTGGACCTCCAAGACATGCTGTCCAGTGCCCAGAGGAAATGGTTCTGTGCAACGTGCGAGACTTCGGACAATATCGAGACCATTACTGTGCCATATGTCTTCCAGTACCTAGTGGCTGAACTTAGCGCAATGAACATCAAGGCAACACTGGAAGTGAAGTGAGCACTTTTGACGTTGCCAATTTAAATGCTATGGAGCCAAAGTGAGCACTATGAACATTTCCAATTGGAATACTATGGAGCCCAAAGGAGGACAGTTGATGTTGCCAATTTTAATGCTATGGAGCCAAAGTAATTTATAGCTGAACTCTGAAAGGCATTGCTAAAAGTGAAAAAAGCACAGTGGGCCTTACTAATTTGAATGATTTGCAGCTGAATTCGGCACAATTGATATTAATCCAGCATAGAAAGTGAAGTGAGCACTGTTGACGTTGCCAATTTGAAAGCGTTGTAGCTGACATTGGCTCAGTGAAGAACTAAAGCATCACTATCAGGGAAATGTCCCAATCGATTTTGCCAATTTGAATATATCAGTTAATCCCCCATATGATCTAGAATGTGTGAACTACATTCCATAGACAACCCTATACATGTTTTTTTTAAATGAAGTTCCTATCTGCAAACTATTTCTCGACTCCTCACAATTCCAGGAGCTATTCTATCAAGTACACATAGTATTACATCAAATATTGACCTTGAATATTTTATGTAAATTTATTAAAATATAACAACACAAAAATTACAATTGAAATACTAAAAAAATTGTTTTCACAGTCAAGGTACATATTACACAAGTCTAATAATTCAAATTTCAGTGCAATTTGCCAACTTAAAGGTATTGAAGAATGTGAGGATTGAGTTACAGTTCTGAATGTAACCGCATGAGGGGAAAAGATCTTGCACATGGCTGCAATTTTGCTCGTTTTCCATACCTCATAATTTAATGATTTCAAGTTTTTATTTTGAAAGTAGGTTGTATTTAACATGCAGTGAGAGACATCTATGTTTTAATCTATCCTTGACTTTTATCCCTAGTACATTTAGTTTACTCACATACTAAAATCATCAAATATTGTTTTGTCACAAAACATATAAGGAAAAGTAAATCATGTATAATGACTATACGATAATTGAACACAATGACTTTATAAGGGTTTTGTGGAATTATCAAATCCTATAATTTGGCAAGCTTGCTTGAATATCTAATAAGTCTTCCAAAACAAAGAATATCATGCTCTTTTTTGTTTATAAAAGAACAAGTAATAAAGTCAGTATTGCAATACTGAACAATGAAACGTGCTTGAATATTTACTTTTGTATAGAAACAAGAATATGTGATGGTGGTTGTCGTGATAAGGTAACGGTGATGTTGATGATGATGTCTGTGATGATGATGATGATGATGATATTGGGATGATGATGATGATGATGATGATGATGATGATATTGGGATGATGATGATGATGATGATGATGATGATGATGATGATGATATTGGGATGATGATGATGATGATGATGATATTGGGATGATGATGATGATGATGATGATGATGATGATGATGATGATGATGATGATGATGATGATGATGATGATGATATTGGGATGATGATGATGATGATGATGATGATGATGATATTGGGATGATGATGATGATATTGGGATGATGATGATGATGATATTGGGATGATGATGATGATGATGATGATGATGATGATGATATTGGGATGATGATGAGTATGATGATGATGATGATGATGATGATATTGGGATGATGATGATGATATTGGGATGATGATGATGATGATATTGGGATGATGATCTTGATAATGATGCTGCTGCTGATGATGATGATGTTGATGAGAAAGATGTTGGTAATGAAGACAGTGTTAGTAAAAAAAAAAAAATTTAAATTTGGGGGGGGGGGGGGGAGACGGGGTTAGGGAATGTTCTTAGTGTAATTAAACTCCCTGCTCAAACATTATTTTAGTTATTGCATAAAAAAGCAATACTCATGGTACATGTATTATAAACAGAAAAACTATGCTGCTGATGACATAATTATGTTTGGTGGGGATTGGTAATGAATGCAATAATGTTAGTGATGATGATGATGATAGTGGTGATTGGCTCCTGACGACGGATTGTCAACCTGTTCGAAACGTCTAGCCACTCCTGCCACTCATCCTCTCCAAGCGCTATAGTTCTCCTTAGAACTACATGTATATGCTAAGAAAGATAACCAACAGTCCTTTTAAGGACTACAAACCCTCAAGAAAGTTTACAGATAGTCCTTTTCAGGACTCCTCAATCCTCCCTCTCTCTCATATGGTGCACCCGCAAGCCTACTGTATATCTACATTGCCATGCAAGCCGATACTTACAAGCAGCATCTAAGAATATATAAGTAAAGGCAAACAACAAAAAGTATATTATCATCCAAAAGGATTTCTAATTCTTAGTGATTCAAGACAAGCCTTTTATTTTTCTTCTGTACACATTTGCTTACAAAGTAAACAACATTATAAAAAATACACAATGTATTGATGTTTAGCATCATAAACAGCTTTGTATGTCAATAAAGATTAATGATACTGTGCATGCCATCTATATTTTGGAATAAAATTAGAAGAAAAGAAAAAGGCTACAAAGTGTACTCATACGGTGTAAATATTCATAAATGAATGAAACACGCCAATAAAAAATAAAACAACAACAAACAATAACCTGATTCATCACACATTAAATAAATTTACATCATAATGACAATTTTTTTTAATCTGGTCTTTGGACCGACAAAGAACGGAATTCATGATTCTTTTATACACCCTAAATCTAAATAGACATCTACATGTACATGTCGTAATATATCAACAACGATTTGTTTGGTCCAGCTCATCGTTTATACAATATTTAAATAACATTTATATTAATCATATTTGAAAAAATTAGTTAGATTCTTGTTAATTGATTAACTTTCCTCCATCAAAATCTTGTAGTTTGGATGGAAGTTGATCTTAAATTAGTTGGTTAAAATTATTACAGTTCTTTGATCATGCCTGTAGCTTTCAAACCGTTTTGTCAGTTTGAATCTTGATAGAAAAGAACAACATTTACAATAATTATGATGTTAATAGTTTTACTGGAATTTGTAATCACAAACTTGAGCCTTTCTTCAATTCAACCTAGTATAGAAATTTCATCAGCCTTGTCTATTACATTTTTAAATATTTGAAGCAATCATTGCAATGATATACAACATAATCCAAACATTTTTTCTATGGGTCACATAAAAGATGGAATGGAGTTGCCTTTTAGCTGATTTCTCGAAAGCCTTTACAACTGTGCTGTATATAGAGCTTGTTTACTGCATTTCCTAAATATAATGAAAACCATTTAGTACAAACCATGCAGTACAAAAACTATTACATTTCAAAGTATGCTTTGATAATGACAATAGTGCAATTCCAAATGGTGACGCCCTGTTACCATGGCAATTTTTCCGTCCAACGTGAGCAAGAAAGCAAGTTTCACTCGATCATGAATTCTTGGGTCCGTCGTTTTCTTGAGATAAGCGACAAGGTTGGCCTTCTCCTCTGCTTTCCCTCTGAGTTCGCGGAAAATAAACTTGGTTCCAGGAATGTGAGGCTTCTCCAGAAAATCGTAAATGGTCTTGTCTCCCCAAATGACCCCTGATTTAAAGGAAGGTGAAAAAGAAAACGGAGTAACTTACATTAATCAATATTGGGAGGAATACCAAAGATTGTACATTTATATTTATCAGGAAGCGAATTAGATGATATGCTTCCCCAGGCGCGTACGCAGGGGGGGGGGGGGTGTTTGGGGGGTTAAACCCACCCTTTGGTATTCTTATGTGTATAAACCCCCCTTAAAAAAAAAAATATTCCCATGGCTGACCTAAAAAAGACGACCTTACCCCCCCCCCCCCCCCCGACGGAGCAAAATGTCAAATTTTCAAATTTCGAGACCCCCTCCCCCCCCCCAAAAAAAAAGGTGTCCTCTTACCCCCCCCCCCCCCCCCCCCCCCCGCTTATTCAGCGGCCGGCTGAGTCGATGCGAAATTTTCGGCCCGATTTAAAAATGTTAACCCCCCCCCCCCCCCCCCCCCCTTGAAAAAAATCCTGCGTACGTGCCTGTGCTTCCCCAATTGAACTGTTCATGTTGCTTGGAACCCTTCCTTTAACAAAAAATGATACCAAATGTTACTACCACTTTCGCTTTCTTGTTTGTCTCTGTCTGTCTCTCTATCTCTCCCTCTCTCTCTCTCGCTCTCTCTCTCTCTCTCTCTCTATCTCTCTCTCTCTCTCTCTCTCTTCCACCTCTCCTCCCTCTCTCCCAATCTCTTTGTATGTCTTTATCTTGTATCAATATTTCCTTGCAGTATATCAAACTCACATGCTCTACCCTTACAACATTTAGGAGATTATTTTGTACCAATTGAGTATTTCTATCCCAAATCCATCACTGCTACTTTTTGTAAAGTCATCAAACAAATCAAAACAATTTTTCAATATTATTGTTTATGCTCATCAAAACATTGAAAAGTTCTCATCAGCTCCAATCTTATCTGATGATTAGGTTTTAACTCTAGCTTTCTCCTTTCCCCGTCTGCACTAAATCAAAACGTACCTTTCTTCTCGTCAGATTCCACAAAGGCGAAACCCTCTATCGTATTCGCCTCTCTTCCCCATACCCCCATCAAGTTAGGCCCCGCCCTGTGCTCCCCGCTCTTGTCAATGTCATGGCAACCGGCGCAGTGCTCTCGGAAGATCTCGGCTCCTTTCTCGGGATCGACCGGAGGAATGACGTCATCATTTGCGGCCATGTCGAGTTTCTGATAAGGCACTTTATTTCTAGAAAGAATAGTTAATGGAAATGAAAAGAGGGAGAAAATAAAGATTATATTATTAGAAAAATGTCTAATTAACATAATCGTAAAAATATCCGGAAAAAAAATCGACCCGACAGCTCGATCAGTCAATTTCACTACCCTTTATTTATTTCATTATTTATATGAAGGTCATGGCAGTGGCGGATCCTGGAGGGGGGGGGGGGCGGGCCGGCCCACCCCCCCCCCCTCCCCCTGGGAAAATAAACATGTAAAACACGATAATTTTACCTTTTTGGGAGATGGGCCCGTCCCCTGGCGCTCAAGGGGGGGGGGGGGTGCGATTCGAGGGCCCCCTCAAAAAAAAAAAAATAGTGCTCACTACTATGAAGTCACTCAACCCAACACTACGAATATCCAAGTTACAAAACAAGCTATTTGTTCCATAATTATGATACCAACCACACCAAAGATTGTATATTAAATGTTGATCTAAAATGTTATATAGTATATCTTTATGAAGTTGATTGCCGCAGCATTCTAGAGCTTAGATCTGAACGAATATGGCGTGAAATGAAACCAGTCTGATATCAATCCTTGTTTTTTTTTTTTTAAGGACAGTAATTGGTCATTTATGCAAGGGAAAGCGATTGACCAAATACCGTGGACTTGCCAAGTATACGAAATGCAATTTTCTATAGCTTCCCGATATGAACCCCTTCCTGAGTACTACTTCCAGATTATGTATTAGTGAATATACTTTATATGTCTATCGAGTCTAGCCAGAAATGATAATGCAGTTTATCATACAACGTTGAACTTTGAACGTACGTGAATAATGATAATGATTATTTAAGCCCTCCAATAATGATAATAAAATAATAATGATTATAATAATAATAATAATTTAAAAAGTAACATAAAAATAAGAATGAAAATAGTTTGTAAAAGAAGTAACGGCCACGCGGGGAATACATGTATCTTGGGGGGGGGGGGGGGGGGGGATTATTTTTTTCGTCCATTTTCTGTTGGGGGGGGGGGGGGTTGTAATGCTTTGTTTATCTGGAATCCCTGTCTTACAGTGTCGAATTGAAAAATGACTTCGATTTTTTTTTTCTAATAATTATTTTGCTTTGTTTCTGTCTTTGTTTTATGTTCTTTCGGTTTATGTTTGTTTTTCTGTTTTGTTTTTTTCTTTGTGTGTTTTTAACAAACATTCACTTTTTCCAAGAGAAATACCTCTTTTTCACTGCCTGTCTGCTGGCTTATATGCCTAGGCATAGTTCGGGGCGGAGACAGAATTTTGTTAAATAGGGGAGGGGCACTTTCCGAAAATATTACACATCTAGGGACAGTTTTTATTGTTTACTAATGACAAATAGGTTTTCAAAGGGGCAACGGGGGCTGTTCCCTCTGCCCCCTCTCCATATTCGCCACAATTTTGCTAACCATGGCGACGACTATGGCATGTATGGAACAAATAATGATAAGATGTTCACGCACTACGGCCCGATAACGTGCGGCAAAGTCAATAAAACTAGGTCATGAATAATTATGTTATTTAGATCACAATCAATCAAATATTTGCATGATAGAATCTGATCGTATTTGCAAATATCATAAAAGCTATATGACATATGATAAGCCTATATTTGCTAGTGTAATATTTGACAAGGAAAGCAGTCATAATGTTTGTGCCAAATTTCTTTTCGCCACAGACATATATTACAAGTGATCTGATAACGCAGTCAGGTCTCTAAGGAGTTTTACTCTAGAAAAAAAAAATGATGCTATAAAAACATTCGTCGACAAGAAAAGAGTCCCGTGTCTAATAAAAATGGTCATCAAGTCTGCCTTTACATGTGATGTACGTACTTGGTGTTTGAGTGTATATATAGGCTTTGTATCAATACTAATACTTGTCTTATGTTACCAGAGAGGCCTCATCAGTATAAGTCTATCAATTAATAATAATAATTAGTCCTTATATTATCACCCCGTCATTAATTACCAGAAGAAAAAGAAAGCACATTTGCAAAACACCGTTATTCAAGCCAGATAGTATATAAGGACACAACAAGGATCGAACCTTGGACTTCTTTTATGAGAGTCAAGATCCTTAACCTTTGTACCGCGGGTGGGGGAGGGGGGATCTTGCAGTCCTCCGAAAAGAATAATGTAGTCCAATAGTTTTACATTCCTACATTGTATTTTACATTGTACATTACACAGCTCAATCATCATTATAACAAGCTTCCAAAGCGGTACTGTACATATTTCATATGCTCACGATAACACAGCAATACTTATATCTGCTTATATTTGTACTTGAACCTCACACTTATACACGCAACGAACCGGAAGATTCAATACTGTCTTGCTTACTAGCACGTAGGCAGCCTGTTATATTATACACAGACAGATAGTGCGGTATGGTATGTAATCCCGTAGGATTTTTTTGCCAAAATTGAATTTTTTGCTGTTTTGGCTTCAAAAGGGTCCCAATTGGCCAAAAATGATGGGGTTCAAATTTTCAGACCCCTCCTTCACTTCCTGGGGGTCCATTTTGGGCGCCAAAATTGCATATATAAAGCGCAATAGGGAAATTTGGTGTCTTCCACCCTAATTCATATATTTTTTCGCCAATTTCACTGTGAAGTTGTTTGAGGTATATAAGGATTCATTTTTAATGATATTGTGTCATAAAACTTTTTCACTTTGACGTTATGGGGGCGTAATTTGCGAAAAATTGTGAAAAACTGGGAAATATTTCCTAAAAATGTGCCCTTCTTCTTTCTTTTGGGCTAGAATTTTGATATAATAAGTGGAAATGACATTATTGTGTATTATTATAGAGTGGAATAATTGTGAAACATATCACATGTCATTAACACTGTTATTTTAGGCTGTTAATATAAAAAATCAACCCTATTTTAGTATTCTATCAAATGAATAACTTACTTAAACACCAGATGGTGCCAAACACCTTCAGATGAAAATATAACAAAATTCTCAAATATCAACTTCTAGGCACTGTAATTGCATCAGTCAATCAGAAAGTTGACAAATTATATATGTAATATTTTTTTCAAATGCAGAATAATACGAAAATGTGCATTTTGTTTTGTTGATATGGTCCCCCCCCCCCCCCCCCGCCCCGAAGAAAAAAAAAGAACAGAAACAAGTTGAGCTATTTTGGTCCGAAATACTTGTACATGACACAATCTTGATCTAAATCAAAGAATTATTTGGAAACATTTTCCAGTTATAAACAAAACATAAAATAAAATCAGGAAAGGGGTAACCACCTACTTCGTGGTTACCATGACAACAGGAAAGTTCATCAGACTTCCAGTAAAAGTCAATCGCTGTCACTATCTGGATCATCCTCCCTTTTCCGGTTTTCACTGTCTCCACTATAGCATTTACAGAGAGGAGTGCAGGGCAAATCGTTGTTGGAGCAGCTACACCGTCCCTTGCATCCTGCTTTGCAGCCACATTTGATGAGTTCAAGTACTGCCCATGGTGCAGGGAGCCTAAGACACTTGACTGGAAGACATCCTCGATTATCTGAGTTGGAGGTAACATCTCACCTTCCAGGTTCTTTGATCGGAACAGTTCCCATCTGAGTGATGGTAGGGTTGTTGGACCTGATGAACAGTAAAAAAAACGACATATGAAATGCTCTAGTGCCTTCACCTGTGTTGGAAGCTCTCCATTGCTAAGCTCAGTTGGAATGGAACCCTCGCCCAGTTCTTTGAAGCAGATAATAGCAGGATCATCATCATCAAGCTTTAAGTAGGCATTAATCCATGTCTTCTTGGATATCCCAACAAACTTCCTCCCCAGTCAGCACCAGAAAAATTGTGAAGTCCAAGGAGGCCTTGACATTTTTGGTGTCCAATGACTTGAACCCGCTCCAGCACATCTATTTCTCGTTTGTACCCTTGCCTGTAGAAAATTGTAGAGAAGTGGGCACTGCATTGTTTCCACAAAATACTAGATGAATTAAGAGAAGGAGGACATCAGTGTGTCAGGGGACCAGACAGTAATTTCTTGCAAGGCACCACTAGCAGTAGAGGCAAGGACTTGATAATGAATCAGGGTATCAGCCTCTTCATGTGTGTGCGCCTCCTCCAAATCATGTCCCTTGATGAAGGTATCATACACAACTACTAGCTTGAAAGGGCTGTCCGTGTTCTGTGAAAAGTTATCAAGCAGCCCCTGACCTAACAGGCACGTCAGCTTTTTCTTGGTTGACGATGAAGATAGAAGCTCCTTGATGGACATTTCTGGGTGTATCTCGTATTCTACTGATGTAGTTGCCCTCTTTTGTCGAGTCTTGTTCTTTAATGACTCTTCCATATATCGATCAAACACAACTCGACCTTCATCATAGCTAGCCATCATCCCTTCGATGCGCCTGTTGAATGCATTCTGCAGGTCTGACATATTTTGCATGGCAGCTAGTGTCTTTTTCATGCCTTGAAGTACACCCATGACGTCAATTATCAGCACCTTGACAGGAAGATCATGCAAGAGGTTAGGTTTTTGGGCTGCTCCAGAAGGAACCTGCGTTATCTCATATTCTACGGTAACCGGAACCTCTTCCTGCATCATTTCAACCTGTGGGGAAGTTGAATATGATTATCCTCCACGACATCAGGCTGTTTTACAGCATCGGGAGGTTCTGTCTTTGCATCTTCAACTGCATGCATCAGACTTGCTTTGTCTGTTGGGATGTACAAAGAACCATCGACAGCACATAGTGAACGGGGAACCACTGACATTTCATATTCACCTATTGTTTCCGCAAGTTTAGGAACTAAGCTTGGGCGGCTGCCTTGGATGATAAGGAATCTTCCCAGCAATTCACTTTCCTCCCGCAACTTGATGACCTTGTCTTCAACACGCACTTTCCTTTTCTCCATCCATTTCGAAAAGGATTTCAGCTTCAGTTTCTTCATTTTGTCCCACACCGAGAGGGTTGATGATGAAAGCAAACGATCAGATACAAACTCCTCA